GGAGGAGCGCGTCCCTGTAGTTTAGTTTCATGATGTGTCTCGCCCTGGTGACCTTACTCTCCTCCTTCCCTGTGAGACGTTCCCGGTCAGAGGGAGAGTGCTGACCAAAGGCAGCAATGGCGCTCTTCTTTTCTTCTTTCAAGCATTCTTGATTCTGGTGTCTAGTGGACGCGCACTTGGAGCGCACGTTCGTTAGGGCCTTTCGCTTCTTAGCTTGGTGTCCATACTATTGATACTTGAAGCATCTGGTCGGACATGGTACGCAGGGTTACACTGGGGCGGTGTCCCATCCCGGTGTAATCTTGTCTGGTAGTTCGAGGAGGAACCCTACCACCCCCGTCAGGTCTTGAGAGTTTTTATCTGACGACGAGTTCTTCTCCCACAAGTTGCTGAATTTCCTTCTCTGTTTGGTGTAACTCTGCGTTGGAGATACCGCCCCACACTGCGTTGTCATCATAACTGACTTCCATCCTGAACGGAGACGTCATTGATGACTCCCACGTCCTGTAGTTGTACCACCTGTCCCCAGTCACCGAAGGTAACCACGAGGTCACTACTCGGCCAGCAGGTGTTTACTCCCTCGATCCCCGAGGAGCACCGTGAAAAACTTCTTCAGGGCGAGGAGGTTCAGCTTCTCGGGAGGGGGAGACATGGCGGGAAACGCCTCACCACCTTCACTAGGTCTCACTTGTCTCGCCTGTCTGTCCTCGGTGAACTCTGGACTCGGGATGACACCTGACACAGTGACCTTCAGGTAACTGTTTATTACATCCAGGATGAACAGAGACACGCTTGAGACACAAGTCTTTCTCCAGGATGAACAAACACAAACATAAACAGTGAGATCAGAAGAGAAGGAAGCCAACCAAACTATGGGACTGCAGACAAGCTAATTCTCTTTCAACTTTAACGTCTGTTGTTAACATTTGGGGCTGTAATTCATAACATCGGGTCGCCTTTAAGTACATTCTGGTTATGGGAGGGTTGGTATTTATGAGCTCTTGAAACTGGCAGCCCTGGACAAATCAAACGTACTGTAAGTCTGGTTAGGTTCAAATATTTCTTTTCAAAACCTAACCTAACCAACACAGATAGTAACTAAACTCCACTAAGGAAAAATTCGCAAGGCAACTGTGGGTGTGAGTCACAGAAGACGACGTGGCCACATACTTGTAAACGGTTTCCTTAATTTTTCGAAAATTATAACATCATCCACAGTAACAATAGGATACTGTACCGAGGTGGAATAACACACCTTAAGGTCGCCACTTTATTAAACAAGATAAAAATTAAATTAAATAATACACAACAAACAAACATTACTGAGTCCGTCTTTACATTCCAACAAGTTTTTACAATTTCCTAAAAAAACACTAAAATTTATAATTACCCAAATATTTGACCAAGTTCATAAGCTACAAAGCACATTTATCTCATACCGAATCTTTCTTATATAATATATTGGCAAATTGAAAATGGCGATACTCACCATACATGAGGCTACAAGAGGATGAGTGCAGGAATTTACTGCTTGATAAGGAAACAAATTATTTTTCCTTTATTTTCCCATCTTCATCGATATACTGCACTGTAGGTACTAATAATATTGGTAACAGCTGAAGTCATTTGGGTAGAGGGAAACACCCGAACACTTGGCCAGAATGTTTCAATAACAATCGTCCGATCTCTAGAAACTTATTCGAACGTTTGGCTTAAAAATGGATTACAGCTCGGAGGGCCGCATTACGGCTCGGAGGACCGCATTACGGCTCGGAGGACCGCATTACGGCTCGGAGGACCGCATTACGGCTCAGAGGACCGCATTACGGCTCGGAGGACCGCATTACAGCTCGGAGGACCGCATTACAGCTCGGAGGACCGCATTACAGCTCGAAGGACCGCATTACGTCTCGGAGGGTCGCTCATAAAAGCATGGAGACCTTACCTCCAGATAAACGTAATATCCAAAGAAAAGGTGAGACACAGAGGGATTAGCATTATTCTTAAACTAAGCTGTGTCGATTATACAAGTAGACTAAGGGTCTTAGGACTAACACCTCTTCAGACAAGACACAATAGGGCGGATCGCATACACTCAAAATCTTGAAAGGAGTGAAAAATGTAAACCCAAATAAATTTTCCTGGACCAAAACAAGAGGACACAGCTTCAAGCTTCACACAGAGGATGGAAGACCTGTGGAACAATCTATCATCCGTGGAAGTGGGAACAATAATCGGCTTCAAAATAGCCGTAGACAAGACTATCAAGAACAATGGAGGGATCCGACACACTACACAGACCATTAGCCTCTTTCCTTCGGTGCGGTCACCGCTACTTTTTTTTTACGCGGATTAGCCCACCCGGGCACAGGTCACTGACCCACATCGAGGCCTGGGGGGCGAAAATGTAATAATAATAACAATAATAATAATAATTAGCTCATAGTAAATAAAATTTATAATAAAAAATATAAAAATATAAATTAAATAATAATAACAACACTGATAATAATAATAATAATAATAATAATAATAATAATAATATTATTATTATTATTATTATTATTATTAATATAAATAAAAAAACAAAGAAATAAAAAATAAAAAAGATCAATAGTGAGAAACAATATATGTATGTTGTGTTGTGTTGTCAGAGAAACAATTGAGACCCTGCAAATGTTTGTAAATGAGGCAGAAAGTCAGATCAGCAACCTGGGACTTGGTCACATATGGCAGCAGGGTCTACCATTAGACAACACATTATGCTTCCAATATCTTCCCAGGCGGAAGTACCTCCCTGCCTGGTAGCTGCCTACTACCATTTGAGATAGAAGGATGAGTCGCCTCTTGGTTCACTTTAGTCACCATCCGCCCGACATTGTCACAGGAAGCAGATGGTGATATCTTGATGGTGAAGCACTGGATATGTTGTGTGTAGAGGCTGACTGTGATGTGTGTGGGAATGGCCCAATTCAGCACCGCCATATATATATATATATATATATATATATATATATATATATATATATATATATATATATATATATATATATATATATATATATATATATATATATATATATATACATTAAAAATGGGGTCAGATGGGTCTCATCCGGTATAAACGAACAATAGGACTGGACAAGGAGCCTCCCACACACACACACCTCTTTACTTGTTTAAGCTTTAAAGGAATAGTTTGGTACCTGAGTATTTTATTCCGGCTTATGCTAGACGATTTTATTCAGCTGAGAGAATCTCCTGTCACTCAATGGGTTAAAAAAAATCACTTATCATTAAACTTTCGGGTTAGATAAATGGTTTTATAATATATATATATATATATATATATATATATATATATATATATATATATATATATAATATATATATATATATATATAATTGTATAAACAATAAATAACAACACGGAAATCCCACTGTAGGTTCGATGAATATACTGTATGAGCGATAGGGGTTGAGTGTAAACGGGACTGCCCAGTATAGACCCGCTGCAGTTTCCTCCATTCTTGTGTTCTTGTGTGTATAATATTTTGACCATAACCTTCGATCCCCTTCTGACATGGTTTATTTATGATGTTAAGAGTAAGTTACAGTGATAAAGGTTTTAAAACTTATATTATGCAGTAACAGTATATTCACTATTCTTGGGAATCATATACATAAGCAACAACTGGCATGAAACGGTTAAATGCGGGTTGGGGCCCCCTTAAAAAATCCTGACAGGTTCTTGGCCCCCAGGTGAGGTCTTATGAACAACCACTGAGGTGATTTTTCTTCTAAAACTACAATTAGATTTGTACATTATGGATGACCCGTTACAGTTAATGGCGTGACCCAACTCACTAACATGTTGTAATACAGCTGAACTGTCTTGAGCATATCTTATGACATTTTTATGACAAGTTAACTTAGATGATACAATTTAAGGAAGTGATTGTGGACAGGTACAGTACCGGCCATGGTGCCTCCTTGTGTACCGAGGGCTTAGAATACAGTGTGTTGTATCCACACTGCTCCTAACGAGCGGTCACGCCTATGGGACCACTAACACTTTCTTTAAGCTTGCAGATAATTCCTTCACTGCCTGACCAACTTAAGGTACACTTATCTCAACCATTACGCGGTGTAATGTGAATACCAGGTTAGGCCTCACTAATTTTTTTATATATACATTAACAATGTTTTTTTATACGTTCTTGGGATAACTGAAAACTAAATTGATCTGTTCTTTGGTAATTTATTTATCAAGGACTGATGGTGAGGTATTTTTAAGATTTAATTGGTGATGGTGTGCATGATGGTGGAAGCCGAAATATTGTAGTAATTTGCCTTAGCTACACTCAACTGGGGTCTCCTAGTTTTCCTAACTGAAGTTTCACTGAATAAATTTCAGTATCCAGATACTGAGTGCTACAAATCCTGAGGCTCTGAGAAAAAGTCGTGAAGCAACACCTCACCTCTACCGAGTGGTTCACAAAAAAGTAACTCGACGAAAGAGAGGGAGTCCACCCGCCACTTTCCATTCGACTTTGAATTTGCTTCTGGGGACTAAATTATTTAATCTGGCCAAAAAAAGTTCAAAGGATCCCATCTGTCATCCCAAACAGTAAACACACAGAGGTCTTAATCTGAGATGGAAGGGAATTCTCAAAAAGTTCTAAATACCTCCTGTACAGTACTAGGCTATACTGTACGCGGCCAACACCGGGGATAAGTTGGAACCCATCCACTGTTTTGTAAGTAAAATTTCATCTTTAAGAGAGAAACCAATAGATGAAACACAAACTTGCAAGAACAACTATTTTTGGTAAAGAATGTGGGAACTCATTTTGGAATTCACATAATTTAGTTTGTAGCTTTGCAGCACATCATCTATTAGTACTTTTGTGAAGTAAGATATAGTACAAGCTCCAAACTTAGCATTTTGACAGTTCATACCTTTTAACTTATTATGAAATTCTGTTCTATATAAAGTTTAGAGAACTTACCTACAGATAGGGATAGCAATCCACTAAGACATTCAGCCATTTTAAAAAGGGGACCTTGGTGGTACATCTTTTTATATGAATTTTAGGGAGTTCATAGACATTGAGAAGACTTGGGTAGATGACTTAATAATGTTCTACGAATTTCAGTTTCCGTTCCTTTCGTGTGGAGTTCAGCCTCAAAATCCACGTGTCTCAGAATCTGATAACGATGTGATTTATCCCGTACGTGAAGATTTGTAGAAGTCGACAATATCATAAGTTGTGATTTACAAGAAAGTGATTTAGGATTCTATCAGATTTACTAAAGCATTTGGTAATATAATCATCTTATTTAATGGTTGAATACAAACAAAGAAGACTTAATATGTTAAAAGTAAATTGTTTCAAAGGATATTGTGTAGTTTTATTGTTAAAACAAACAACCTTAGAGGGGTGAGGGCAGCTGGAGTGTCATACACAGCGACGTCCTGTTTATCAAGGGATATACGTAGGTTGGGACCACATCCTCGTGAACCAGTGAGGGCTGTGTCTTGCTGCTGGTAACTCCTGCTCTCGTCCTCACTCCCGGCAAATGCACTATCCCTCACAGATTTCTTCAGAAGCACTTCGCACTGGAACATATGATATATCCACTATTTGAGTGTCATAATTACAGTGAATATCGAAATTTGTTTCAGTGGCGGTATCCAGTGAGCAACAATTGTGGTGAAAGAGGATTGTTGATGAAGCGAAGCAAGAGAAGTGTTCTCTGGCCAAACTGATTCACTCGCTAATGGCAACACACAGCAAGTGACCATCAACATTTAAGATCATTTGACTAGGCTGCTGTTCTTGATCCAGATCCTCATTGACTCCTAGACAATCTCCTAAGATATCCAACTTCTTCAGGCAAACACCTTACACGTAGCCCCGTCCCCATCATCATGACGAGTGAAGATAACGATGACAAGGGCAGTGCTCCGGACTGGGCCATCGTGCTGACTGCCGTAACAGCTGTCATCATCGCCATACTGGGATTTTTTGGTGAGTTGATTACACATTTACTCCCTCCTTTAGTCTTTTATCTAGAGTTCATGTCAAGGTTTCTGTCATAGAGCAGCTTAAGAGTAACTTTATTTACTCATCACTCATTATATACTGTAACTCACTATTGTTGGCTCAGGTGGCTGACTGACTGCACCAAAGATGACGTCCAGCATCTTGCCCGCTCGTGTTGTTGATGGTGTGACGAGCACTGTCATTAAACCTGCAACAACCTTGTAACACAGCAGCAGGGGGTTGGTCACTACTAGGAGTCTTTCTGGTGTTGTCAGGCTTGATGGGATTTCTCTTGTCTCTCAAACAAGGCGGTTGTAGCGGCTGACTTTGCCTCTAAACGTGGAATGTTGCTTTACCAGAAAATGCCAACTCTAACAAAATTAATAGAAATATTTTATTTTATTAGAACGCTTGACAAAAATGTGACCCTTCACGGTAGTCCTTAGTGTTTGAAGCACCAGCCTGTAAGAATGTTCATGTAGTATATTTCTGAAAATTGTCGGCGGGATGTTTAGCTCTGAAGGAACACGTCGCAGACACTTGGGTGGAGTCTAGCTCGGCCACGGTCTCATCAATGATACAAGTCCTCTCTAATCGTGGTTTATCATTCACTGATTCAGTATCGTTTCAATATTTTATCCATTTATTAATTTGACCCGTGTGGTGCATCTTTCTTGTGTTAACCGATGATTTTTCTTCGCACAGTTCTGCTAGACAGAGCACACGCTTCATCTTGTCTTCCACGGTTAATGTTTTAAGTCAGTTGTAGTGTCTGAGATAAAAAGCGAAAACCTCAAAATAAAACAAAATTAATAACATAAATATTAAGACAATTATTAATTGGTCTTTATTGTGTATATTATAGATTGCCTCGTATATGTTTACTACAGTTTACATATGTTGAGGGACTTTATATACCATGTTTGTTGTCGTTGTTAAGTGGTTAAGTTATTGTGTCGAACTTACTAGTTTAAACAGGCGAACATTTAATGATGTTTGTCACACGTCGCAATAATCAACTGTTACTCTTCTGTTAGCTCTACAACAGCGAAATTTGTGAGTGAAAGGAGAGTATGACGACCGAGTGGCTTGAGAGGATGTTACGTCAGTAAGACTGAACGAATGACAAACAGAGAGAAGGTCGGTCACCTTGTAAATTATCTTATTTATGGGCCCGTAAGAATGAATAAAAGCTTCATAAAAAAATTAAGCCGAATTAATGTATCAAGAACAATTTTTACATGGGTTTAATGGGGAGGTTGTGAGTGGCGGAGGCAATCTTGTCTGAGGCACAGTTTTTTTTTTAAATTTTACAATTTACATATTTATGTATACCTAAATACCCTACTACTTTCCCCAGGTAACCTGCTGACCATCCTGGCACTACCGTACACTAGACGGCTGCGTCACTCCGCGACCTACCTAGTGGTGAACTTGGCGGTGGCTGAAGGCATCTTTTGCGTCACCATTCTGCCTATCTCGGCCGCCCACCTCTTCACCCTGTACATGACTAGCGGCATGCGTCCTCTGTTTGACACTCAGGGCTGCAACGTATTTGTCTTCCTACGTTACGTCAACATCCAGGCGGAGCTTCTCTCTATAGCCGCCATCGCTGTCAACAGGTGAGCTGTGTTGTTGTATGTGGTGGACTGTTGTCTGTCCATACACATAGTGTGGTCCACAGTGAGTGTTGCATATAACACTTAACTTAGTGTAGACCACAGTGAGTGTTGCATATAACACTTAACTTAGTGTAGACCACAGTGAGTGTTGCATATAACACTTAACTTAGTGTAGACCACAGTGAGTGTTGTATATAACACTTAACTTAGTGTAGACCACAGTGAGTGTTGCATATAACACTTAACTTAGTGTAGACCACAGTTAGTGTTGCATATAACACTTAACTTAGTGTAGACCACAGCTGGGGGGTTATGAGGATACACTTACCAACCTTCCCGACATATCACAGTGTATACGTATCGTTCCGGAAGTCGTCGATCTCACCCTGCACCGATACTTTTTGTTGCGAGTGTACATTCCTCTCTGTACTATGACTATCTATTATGACTATCTCTTGTGTCCTGTTGCTTATGTGTAACATGTTATGGTGCACCTCATAATGGGGTGGCTCAGTTTGTGGAAGAGCTTCCCAAGGGTGACCCACCATGAAAAAGGTTGAAAAGCACTGGGTTAAACCATAGTTCTTAATAGGCTAAACCACCGTCCTTAATAGGCTAAACCATCGTCCATAATAGGCTAAACCATTGTCCTTAATAGGCTAAACCACCGTCCTTAATAGGCTAAACCACCGTCCTTAATAGGCTAAACCATCGTCCATAATAGGCTAAACCACCGTCCTTAATAGGCTAAACCATCGTCCATAATAGGCTAAACCACCGTCCTTAATAGGCTAAACCACCGTCCTTAATAGGCTAAACCATCGTCCATAATAGGCTAAACCATTGTCCTTTATAGGCTAAAGCCGCTAAACCATCGTCCTTAATAGGCTAAACCATCGTATTTATAAGAGTAACCCCTCGTATACATAAAGGATTCACTGCCACACACCACCAGTTTCAGTTTCCTAGCGGTATGAGGACGTATTGAAGTGTGTGGGTGGGTGTGGGTGGGTGTGACGAACTACATATGCGTTGAGGAAGTACTGTAAGCAGCGGGTGTGTGGGTGAAGGAAGCGCGGGCCGAGTACAATAAGGACAGAGTATTTTATCAGTAAGTGTGTTTTCATGTTCTCCCGGCAGGTGTGTGTTGATCGCTGTGCCCAAGAAGTACCCACAGGTGTTCTCCGGGCCTAAGACAGCAATCCTTATCGCCGCTATTTGGCTTTGTTCCGGATTCCTCATGTTAATACCATTGTTGAAGGTGAGTCTCTCTCTCTCTGACAGTAGTCCTAGTTTTTTGCATTTTCAGTTGATGTGTTACAGTGTGTGTTTTGCAGAAAATTACTTATTCTTCTGTGCTGACAGTTCACCCACACAGTACAGAAGGTTAGTTAAGGTATCAAGTACTGTCATGCACGAAAGTTAGTCCCCTCAGCCAGCCACAGTGTGACTCCGAAACACTTGAGGTTTGAACAACGAAGAAGAAAGTGCCCTCTTGACTCAACAGATGTGGCGCGTAGTGTGTGTGAGGGGGACGTGGGTGGAGAGCGGCAGAGGATGTTCATTATTATACTGAAACAGTTTAGTTAGCCAGAAAAATACAGATACAGCGTCCATAATAATAACAATATCAACATGGCTGAGCCAGTTGAGAGCCTGAGCTCTCTTAAGGGCACCTGATATATACTATACATTTATCTCAAGGAAGTATTATGTAACTTTTAGTATCATCTGGAATAGTACAAGTAACATGGTGATAATAAGAACATAATTATCAGAATGATAAGGGAGGGAAGCAGTACAACATGGGTTGTATTAAGGAGGAAAAAGACGACAGCAGCTGTCAGTATCATGTCTTATCGACAAATATATAATTATTGCAATGATAATTTCTATCTACATGGCAATTTATGATATAATGGTTTTGGTGGTATAATAAAAGTAAGAATATAAAGTAGGTATTACAAAATGTTAATACTTAGACAATAGATATTTTTAAGAGATGATTTAAAGGAAGGGAGCGTAGTCTTTGCTTGGATGGGTGGGGGTAAGTTGTTCCACACCTTCACATCGTGATATTTTATGGAGGTCTGGGACTGAGAGGAGCGCATGGGGGAAGGGGGGGTCTTAGTAGCTCTGGGGGCCTTAAGTTGCATCTCTGATTATTCCGGAACTGGAAATAATTGTTGTCAATCAAGTTATTGACAGATTTGTAAACAAAAAGGGAACAGCAGTAGGCGTTAATATCTTCAGTTTAGCAAATTGTTCGTTAGTGTAATCAGTTTTTTCAAGTAGGCCATTGTGATGTTTGGGTGTGGATGGTGAATGTGATGACGATGGTTCACACTATAAAGGATATTGATAATCGTAACTGAACAGCGTGTTGGTTAGTCAATGTTGGATGACCCGTTAGTCGTTACTGAGAAAGGCGCCACCTATAGCAGGCAGGAGGTGAGGTGGGACCCAGACTATGCCGCGGCCTCTCGACCTCCTCCTCATCGCTGCAACTACCGACGCAGATGTCATCACACTCGCACTAAATGGTTGTCCTTTAATACTGTCAATGCCTACGTGCCTCCCTCCACCTACCACAGCACAGTCCCCAGCCGTCACCAACACACCTTCCTCCTGACCAATATCCCTCCTCCTGCAGACAGGCCACGCGCTTGACTTATTAGGGATCTGTTATGGCAAGGCGTAGCAGATCCTCCACACTCTCATCCTGTCACTATATGTAACTTGCCGATGAAATCCATGGCCCTTCAGGCTTTTACGCCCTTTAATGCACAAGTCGACGAGGCAAGCATGAACTCTGTGTGCTTCCCTGTTGGGCGCTATAAACGACTTTTGCCCTACGCTTTGCACAGGATGCAAGGGAGTGCCCAATAAACTAGCCCCCTCGCGGGGCAAATTATAAAGAAAAATATATATGCCGTCGGCTGTTGAGTCCCATCATCAACATCAGCAGCAGGCACAAGGGGATAAAATCTTTTGTCATCATTATTCACCATGTCCAGTGTTTACCACAACAGCTGATAGTTGAATCACGAGAGTACCTTGTTTATAATTATACTGTGCGTCATTCGGTATTTTACACATGGCTTTTAAGACGATAGGAACTATGACATAAGTTGGTATTACATAATAACAGGTAATCATTGTGAGGTTGTTACCACAATAATTGTAGCTTTACAAAGTTTATCTGCCTCCTGGGATAGGTGGTGAACAAGCACCTGCTCCCCTCCTTCACCCAGCGCTTTCATTTGGATATTGTGTTGTTGTTGAGAGCTACCCCACGATGCACGCAGTTGAATCAGGACATATCAGCCAAGAGGTCAGTCAGCTATGTTTTGGACAGCCTGGTGAACACTGTCTCACCATTCCCCTATTGGAACTATGATATGTTCAGCAAAGGGAATTCTATTCCTATGTGATATTATTTGAATTACAACAATGTCACCGATAACTTTCATCTGATGTTATATACAGGCTTGCATCTTATACCACATTTTGCAATGGCTTCACGTTTATGACTGAAAAGGAAGCCAGTTTAATACCTGAAGTGATTTCTGAACGAAGCCGGATCATCGGGAAGTTAAATGCCGTGCATCAATGCCGAACATTACTCGGGGAACGAGGAGCCAAAAAATAGTGGATCTACCGGTGGGAGGAGGAAGGGAGGCTTTGTGGAGACGAGGCCTAAGAGCAGGAAGCCGTACTTAACTTCGACCTGGACGGGTGCCCGACCCTAACACAGGAGCGTCTCAAGATTTCAATATACATGAAATCTGGGGCTGAACTGCCATCCATGACCACGAGACAGCGTCTCTAACAGTGCGGGATCCGTAGTCATATCCCGGTGCACAAGGGATGGCCCACACCATGGAGGTGTACCTCCACGGCCCACACCAGCATAGAAGGACTGTCCCCATGGCTGTGCTCTGGAACACCTTCCTCATAAGTTCATAACGAAAATTGACGCCAAAAACTGAAGGAAGAAGAAGAGAGGGAAATGGGAATATGAAAATGAAATAAGAAAATTTACTGATCCTTTTGAGCTGAACATTTTGAAGTAATAAAAATAGAAGACTTCTGGTTCTTATTTACGTTTAAGTATTGGAACAAGAAGTAATAAGATGAAGAAAATAAGCGAGTGGGAGAGTAGCCAGTGTTCTTATAATAATATTTACCTTACCAGTTTCTCCCCTCCTCACAGACGTCACCAAGAATAGAACAAATAAATACTCCCTTGAGGTAATGATCCAGGAGGGACACACACACACACACACACACACACACACACACACACACACACACACACACACACACACACACACACACACACACACACACACACACACACACACACACACACACACACACACACACACACACACACACACACACACACACCTGTCCGTTTACAGTCTGGCTAATTGTACCTACCTACTCCCCATACTACCAACCTACTGCCACAGCCTACCAAGCCACTTTCCCAGCCTACCTACCACTTCCCTAGCCTACCTACCCACTTCCCCAGCCTACCTACCCACTTCCCCAGCCTACCTACCCACTTCCCCAGCCTACCTACCCACTTCCCCAGCCTACCTACCCACTTCCCCAGCCTACCCACCACTTCCCACTGCAGCCTGCCTACCACTTCCCCAGCCTACCCCCAGCCTGCCTGCCACTTCCCCAGCCTACCAACCCACTTCCCAGCCCCACTTCCCCAGCCTACCTACCCACTTCCCCAGCCTACCTACCCACTTCCCCAGCCTACCAACCCACTTCCCCAGCCTACATAATATTCATGACATATTAATGTAATTATATTTATTACTCACAAGTCACTTAATATCGGTAGATCTACGGCGAGTTCACGTATAACCACAACACGGACGAGTGTGACTTCTCCGACAACACCAAGTACGGCCAGGGACCCCGCAAGTTGTTCCTGGCTTTGGGTTTCCTGCTTCCCTGTGTGGTCATCATTGTTTCCTATTCCTACATCTTCTACAAGGTAAGGAGAGGCTGCAGGGAGGGAATGTAGAGGTGAGGAAGCAAGAGAAAGATATTGGGTGATAGAGGAAGGAGAGATGATGAGACACTGCTACTGATCTAACATTAATACCTGATACTAACACTAATACCTGATACTGATCTAACACTAATACCAATAATTTATGGTTCTTTAATATCCATCCTAAAACAAAGACGTGTTGTAAAGTTACCAATGTTCGTTTTAGAAGTGTCATTCAGGACTGCCAGTGTCTTAAGTTTGGCCACGTAAAAGTGTCAACAGTACATTTCAGGAAGCCGTAACGTAGATTTCCGTCAGCTTCAAGTCAAAAGGAATTCAATTGTTTATCGTGTTAAGTTATGTGTAACTTCCTCTATTAGGTGTTGCTACTACAAGTCTTGGCCTCGATCAAGTGTGGTCGTTATATACTAAGAATAATTATGGTGTTATGGCCTTTGTACAAAACTGCGTCATCCACATTTATAGGTTTTCCATAATCATGTGTTCAGAGTTGGCCCAGCGTCGTATAAAAGTTCAACTAAGATATCAGTTCAGAAATTCAAAGTCACTCTTGATAATTATTGAGCCAGTGAATGATTTGGTGAAAAAGTCCTTGAGGATATGGTCGAATGTTTCAGCGGGGATGAGAACAACCTGTCCAAGTTGTTTGGTTAGGACGAGAGGAATTCCTGTACGATCTTTGGAACTACCAACTTGAAGTCTACATTAGGCTAAATGGATACACTGTCGATAGATCACATTCTGTCCACCAAATGATTCAACTTGTAGTAAACGTTCACTGTTTTTCATCGCGTGTGTTCACGGATAATTTCATTGACGCACCTCTGGGAAACAGGTTCTCCAGCACAACGGTTCTGCCAGTTGGAGTTCATAAAGACGACTAATGGAACCCCGCATTTCTTTATCTCATAAGAAAACCTTCTAGGTACAGTACAGTAGTACCACGCTCTTTGTATCCCTTATGACATCCTTCAGTAACCAAATCATCTTCCACAGGCACGCCAGAGTTCGGTCAAGCTGCAGTCAAGAGGGTCCAGCCTAGTGAAAAACACGGACAACAGCAGCTCCGACACAAGGTCAATAAACATTCTTAAGTGAAACCTATTAACTTAAATCTAACTTCATAAAACATAATTAAATCTAAAAGAACTAATAGAACTTAACCCAACTTTGACCTTACGTAACCAAATGCACTTTAGTTCCCTGGTTTTCCCTCGTAACTTGCGTTGTGGGATTCTGTCAGGTGTAAAATTACCTTTTCGGATTTCCCCTGGCAAGATTTTTTTCTGGTAGGATTTTACAATTTTGCCACACAGCATTACGATAAACAGATTTCACCAACATAATAGATGCAAACAATGGCTCAGGTTTACACGCACGTTTGCACCCAATACTTGTTAAGGAGAATGGCGGGCCTTCTCTTATCTCCTGTGTCGCCCTGCAGGCCAACCCGTCCAAAAGAGGGCCTCAGGTCACGAGACATCCGCATCGCCAGGACTATTGGCGTCATCTTCCTGGCTTTCCTTCTCTGCTGCACCCCAGTGTCTGTTGTTCACTACCTCGATAGTAAGGTAGGTCCTGAAGGTGTAATTCAAAGAATATGTCAAGCCTTATAATACTTGCATCATCAAGCATTAATATCCAGCCTTATAATACATCATCATAAACTTTGTCCCACACCTTGAAGCTAAACATCTTTGTCGTTAAAGTCTAGGTTGTATAGTGAGGTTGTTGCGTCTCTGTCGTTTTTTTATAACCTGTTATGGAAAAGTATAAGAGGTCTTTAATACCCCAGTAATTTGTGTCATAACTTGAATGTGTTAGTGTGTGTTGCTCCCGACTCTTGGGAGGCAAAGAATTATTTCACAACATCTAAAAACATCAGAGTAATAATTAATGGAATTAATAATTCAATGAAAAGTAAAGAGCTAAGTATTATATTATACGGATTTGTTATAGGTAAAATCATGTGCAGTATTTGGCTTCCCACAGTTTCACATGCCGACGCTACTGCTGCTACTGCACCCGGTCTACTGGGCTCAGTACTGCATCAATATCTTCATCTACGTCTTCATGAACAAGCAGTACCGTGACGCTTACGTCCACTATATCTCCAGATGGTGGCCCAACTTCAAGGAGGTAGTGAGTCCCATCCTTTGTTTTCATCTTGGTTGCCGCCTTAAGGTTTGCTTTGTAACGTCATTTGGACATTTTATACGTCATTGTGGTTTGGGGTCCAATCTATTATATTAAATGTCTTGTAATATTATTTATTTCATGTGTGGATGGAAGATGGGCGCCAGGTAACAGGGTTTAATTCAGAAAGAGACGCAACACTGAATTTCCTATATGATAACTTACCTTTGGTCTTCGATGTTATTTTGGATTATGTTAGATAGATTGGCATATTTGTTTTGGCTCAAAGAATTTGCACTATTATCTTGTCTCATGTTAGTTTATTTCCAAAAACATTTTAATACAACTTTTCATAAGTCACTACATGGCAGATAAACACTCATAAACCAATGTCTTTGTAGTTCAATTTGTAATATTATTTTCTTACATTCAGCTCATGGGTTCTAACATTGGCTACATTGATAGAAAGATTTGAGGTATTCAAACAATTCACTTGGGTGATGTCTGTGTGGCAGGTATCCCGTACAAAGTTCAAGTGGAAGGAGGAGCCTACGAGCGGGGACAGCCGTCGACAGTCCCGGGCCGCCACCCCCAGCAGTGGATCAAGGTTCAACGTCCGTAAGTTCTCCAAGAACCTGAACCCAAAGAACAACACCTTGGACTCTATGGAATCTCATCATGGTCAACCCGGAACCCCGAAGATATTGACCAAGAGTGAAACACCAAACCTGGCCGACACTCGTCTCTAGTGCTGAGCCAGTGTTGCCACCACCACTTACTATAGGTGTCCAGTGTTGCCACCACCACTTACTGTAGGTGTCCACTGTCCAGTGTTTCCACCACCACTTACTATAGGTGTCCAGTGTTGCCACCACCACTTACTGTAGGTGTCCAGTGTTGCCACCACCACTTACTGTAGGTGTCCAGTGTTGCCACCACCACTTACTGTAGGTGTCCAGTGTTGCCACTACCACTTACTGTAGGTGTCCAGTGTTGCCACCACCACTTACTGTAAGTGTCCAGTGTTGCCACCACCACCACTTACTGCAAGTATCCAGTGTTGCCACCACCACCACTTACTGTAAGTGTCCAGTGTTGCCAACACCACCACTTACTGTACTGTAAGTGTCCAGGACACACGCCACTACACTACGACACACTTTAGACTTTATCTGAGGCAGATGTTTTATATCATCGTAAATTAGCGAGAAAATTAATATATTCATAATTGAGAATCTAAGCCTGTGATCTTTTTGAGCAATTTATACTTAAAATGGAAAGAGTTTTATAGATATATTATTGTTACAGTATTATTAGCATCCATATTATTACTTAAATATCCACTGCTTATAGAATAGTATTATTGGTCGTAATTTCATGTAAATAAATAAATATTTTATGTATTAATCATGTATGTGGCATCCGCATTTTCATCTACGGAATAATTATCCACAAGAATTTAAACCACCGCGTCTTCATCCGCTCACTTTGATGCAGTTTTTTTTTTAATTTTGCGAAGGTGTTGTTTTAATGCACCTAAATGTAAACTTGACAATAATGTAGTTTACAGTAGGTGTAGGGATAAACTACGTTATGTATTGTTTGTTTTATGTAAATAATGTAATTATAAATTCTAATGTAAACATTACAAATAATAGTTAACAGAATTCATGGAAACGCGAAGTGGACGAAATATTACTGGAACAAAGTGAGGAAATCATTCGCTGGAGATCATCTTGGGTTTGTGGTAAACAGGATATGTGTTACTGTGACGCTCAACAAGTACTAATTCATAAGAACATAAGAAAATAAGGAGTCTGCAATAGGCCGGTTGGCCTGTGCATGGCAGCTCCTGTCGAGAGTTACTACCACTCTCTATCATCCATGAATCTATATAGCCTCCTTTTGAAACTTTCCACGATCCAGCACTTATTACAAAGTTGCTAAGCTTGTTCCACTCGTCCACCACCCTATTTGTGAACCAGTTTCTTCCTATCTCCCTCCTAAACCTAAACTTATCCAACTTGAATCCGTTGCTCCGAGTCCTATCCTGCTCGGATATTATAAGAACTTTATCTATATCCCCTTAATTGATTCCTTTCACCCACTTAAATACTTCTATCATATCTCCCCGCACTCTTCGTCTTTCTAGGGAATGCAAGTTAAGTTTCTTTAACCTATCCTGATATGGAAGGTTTCTAAGTCCCGGAATCATTTTTGTCATTCTTCGCTGCACCGACTCTAGTGAATTTATATCCATTCTATAATAGGGGCACCAGAACTGAACCGCATAATCGAGGTGCGGCCTGACTAGCGCAAGATATAGTTGTAATAAGACCTCTGCACTCTTGTTACTTACACTTCTAGATATAAAACCCAATACTCTGTTTGCCTTATTTCGAACATTAACGCACTGTTTTCTAGGCCGTAGGTCCGGGCTTACAAGTACCCCTAGGTCTCTTTCACAAGTCGACTTCTCTAGGTTGATGTTGTTAAGGCTGTATACATTATCAGTATTTGTTCTTCCAATATTAAGTACGCTGCACTTGCTGGTGTTGAATTTCATTTGCCATTTTTCAGACCACCCCTGCAGTTTATTTATATCCTCCTGTAATGCATTTGCATCCTGCCCTGAATTAATCTGCCGCCCTATTTTGGTGTCATCCGCAACCTTGCTTATGTCACTGCTGATCCCAGTATCTAGATCGTTTATGTAGATTATGAACAAGAGTGGGCCAAGTACTGACCCCTGAGGAACCCCACTGGTTGCACGTCCCCACTCAGATTTAACACCATCTACGCTGACCCTCTGCGTTCTATCGGTGAGCCATGATTTTATCCAATTTAAAACTTTCCCCTTGATACCATGAGCCTAAATTTTTCTCAGAAGCCTCTGAAGCGGTACTCTGTCGTAATTTTCGTCATTATCTTCTACCTCGAAGACTTTCCTAAAAAACGTCAGCAGATTTGTTAGACAAGATTTTCCCTTTGTAAACCCATGCTGAGAGTCATAGATTAATTTGATTTTCTCTAGATGCGATCGGATGCTATCTGCTATAATTGATTCAAGAAATTTCCCCACTATTGACGTCAAACTGATCGGCCGGTAATTTGACGCTGATGCTCTGTCTCCCTTTTTGAATATGGGTACTACATTTGCCTGTTTCCACAAGTCTGGCACAACTCCTGTGTCTAATGATTTTGTAAATAAGTTTACGAGGGGTCCGCTAATCTGTTCCCTACACTCTTTCAAGACTCGAGGGAAAATTTCATCCTGCCCTGGGGATTTTGTTTTCTTTAGTTTATTTATCTTCTTAAGAACATCCTCTTTTCTGATAGTGATATTCTTTAATTTCTCTTCTTCCTTTCCCTTAAATATCAGTTCCACCTCTGGAATTTCATCGCAAATTTCTTCTGTGAAAACTGATAAGAAGTAGCTGTTCAATGCGTTGCTTATTTCTTCACTGCCATTTATCACTTCTCCCCTCCCTGACTTTAAAGGCCCAACTTTGTCCTTGACCTTTGTCCTATATACCTGGAAAAATCCCTTGGTGATTCGCCTTGGATTCATATAAGAGGTAAGTTAAGGGTGTGGTCAGGAATTGGTTGTATTTTATCAGTATTAGATTCCAAACAAAACTATCCTACTTTATAATTATGCAAATGACTTCGACGGTATATGAGTAAGATCTTTTTATTTGAGACAAACTTTGGCTGCTTGGTTGAAAAATTATGTTGTATATAGTGCAACAAAACTTTTACCCAACTTTTTAATTTGAATTAGCACTATAGATAAACATTACATAAAAACACATGATTGCTGTGAATCTAGTCTAATATTACGAGCACAAAATGTACACATACGGCTGACACGGACTTCCGGCGTGTCATAAACTCAAGATTTTTTATGTTCGTAATATTTCTGTATTAAGTTAATGTACTCATAAAGTAGACTATTGATATATTGGCAACTGACCATTAACAACGTTGCCATCACGATCTGTGAATATTTCTAATGAATTACATATATGTATTAGGGGGCGCCAGTGGTAGAGCGGTACTGCTCTTGCCTCGCAAGTGAGATGTCACGGGTTCAAATCCCGGGCCGGTGGAAAGTTGTTTGGACACACTTCCTAGTCCCACTTGGTCCCTGTTCACCTAGCAGTAAAGTAGGTACCTGTTGTAAATCGAAAAGTTGCGAATTCGTATTCAGGGAAAGTTGTTGGAGCTTCCAATAACTTGTTGACAAAAACCTATGACTCTTCAGGCTTCTATGTCCTTGACAAAAAACCTATGACCCTTCAGGCTTCTACGCCCTTAACTCATGAGACATAAAGGCAAGCATGAACTTAGCATGCTTCCCAGATGGGCGCTGTAAGCGCTTCTGCACTTCACCTTGCACAGGATGTAGGGGGGTGCCCAATAAACTAAAATATATATATATTATGGTATTCGTGCATTTCCGCACACAACATTCCTACCCCTAATCTATTATCATATTCGAATAAGACGTCTAATTTTAAGATAATTTTCTTCTATTACATTACCGTCACAAATGGATAATAATGGAGATACCTGTAGCGTATCCAAAATTTTCTCTACTTTTCTTCCATTAATCTTCCCCCATGATCGCCTACCTCATCTCCCACACTGCTTGTCTCCTTCATAAATCATCAATCTCGCGCATTACCATACACGTCACGCGGCCAATCAAAAGCGTTTTTTGGGGGGCAACCAATTAAAAGGATTTGTGGTTTAATTTGCGGTATTTTTGGCCCAATCAAATTCAATTTTTATTGTGGGCCTCTCATATTTCGAAATTCAAATTCATTTCCGACCATGAAAGTTTGCTATGTGTGTCACTTCAATTATATGGAGCTGATTGCTATTTTTTAGGGGGAAAACGAAGAAACAACAGCATTTTTTAGATCTCATGGTGTTCTCCCGACCTCAGTAACGTGTCCTAAGTGTAACAAAGAAAGTAAATGTCGTCAAGACCAACATATGTGGCATTGTGATAACTCCAACGAAGAACGAGAACCAGGCCAATAAGGTAAGAAATAAGTGATTCCATCATATGGTGAGAGTCAGTTAGGATAGGTTAGGTCAGGTCAGGTCAGGTTTATGTTGTTCTAGTGTTTTTGTGTGTATTTTGTATTCGCTTAGCCATTATTTTTTTTTCGGAAAATGCCCCACCAAAAAAAAAAATCGAAAAAACGGCCAATTTCCGAAGTAAAATGAAGGTCATAACCGATCTAAACACACATAAATACACTGGAAAAAAATTCTAACAGAGTTGGGTGCACTTATACAAATTTACCTGTATTATTTATGATTATTCTAATGACTATAATAGGTGTGAATTTCATGCTTAGATAAAAATTTTCTACTCCTACAGATCTCTGACTCACGATATATGTGTACATAGTATATGATTGATTAAGGAATAAATATATGGACTTTATACTTTTAAAGTAATTATAAAGTGTGTTTTATTAATCATAGATATATGAAGGTGGTTATGATTATTTTAACACGTAAACATAATTGCCCAACATATAATGCCACCTGTGTAGAAACCGAAGAAGCAAATAACGGGAAGCGTATCTACTGGGTATAAACCTCTGCCACCATTTATACCGTAAGGGGGGTGTTTTATTTACTTTATTTTCTCGTGTGCAGGCATTTTAGTTTAATTATAGGTGGTTCACTTGTTCCTTTGCCTACTTACACAAAAGTTATATGTCTTATCACTATTTCTAACTCGATATACCATGGGGGGGTTCACTATACACCCGTAGGACCACAGAGGAACATCCATCAATCTTAACGCATCCTGCCCTGTTGTTGACAGCCCACCACACCACACCACAGCCAACGCTAAACTGACTGTGCATGTAACATTATCTCTTAGCTGTAGAGGGTTTATTCTGGGTCCAATCAGAGTCTGTTTTTCAAATATTCTTTAGGCACTTTTTCCACTGATTGACTAGTTCACAATAAGGGTGTAGTCAGTCATTTCTATGAGCGGAGCTTCTCCATGGCAGCTTAGAAGAGGCAGGGTTCTGGTTACCCTTGAGAGGATAACGAATTGAGTCAAACACACAGGGCCCCACAGGTCAATTTTCAAGTTCCCCTATTATAAAGTTTGACTATCGTGGGCATAGGCGTGCGTGGGCGTGTTCGTCCCGTTTATTACAATATATATATATGAGGAAATTAAGGAAATGTAAATACGTGAGTTTTTTTTTACCATTTTATTAAACTATTTTTGGTTTCTGACAGTTTAAGTTATAATGAATAATAATCTTGCACAATCAATGTGAGCTTATCATAACACTGTTTATACAAGGTGAGGAAGAACTGTAATTATTTCAAGTTTATCCCAAATATTTTACTTCATTTCCTTTACAAACAAATGAAATCACATTCAAATCTGCATTATGTAAAGTATTAGAAGAGATCAAACCAGAGCGATTAGGACTGAATACTGATAGATTCTAATGTTTGATCTGTTAGGGCCAAATTAGAGGCAAGGTAGCTAAAAGGGCCCTAGAATAAACCCTTACCCTGGGTCCCTTTTGTCCTTAATATTCAGCCCTGCATATGTAGAATATTTTTGACTGTTGGTATGGTACAAACAACATAATTATAAGGTAAACATAATTATACTTCTATACCAAAAGAAACAAATTACTGTAGATATGCGTAGATAAGACATTAGTTTATCGATGAACAAATAATTGTCATTCCAAACCGCTGAGTCTATACAGTATCATTATTATGCCCATTTATTGATTGTTTATTTGAAAGTTGTGTTGTTGAAACCAAATCAAGTGAACAAGGCTTAGTAACCTTGGAGGTCGAAGTGCTTAAATTTTATTCAATATGAACATTTTTATATAATCAAGTTACAGTGAGATAAACAAAAGCGTTTGTTTTACAGATACAAATTTTTTGTCGCTTTAGTTATTACAGGAAGCGCTTAATATGACTACAACTTTATCATCTAGGAAAAGAACGATTATTGTTATCATGTATTTTATAGCTAAAACTAAAGAGTACATACCCGAGCAAAACAGAGTTAGTTACTGTATTCACAATGTACAGTAGTATTGTTGAAATGTAATGCGTGTTATATTTATCCACAAATTTTCACCTTATATCTTGTAGATTTACTATTACTGATTAATGACCAAACTTAAACGACTCGTTCATTGCTGGATGTATTAACAGATTCCCAAACAGCAGTTTATTAAATCAAAGCAGGTTCAAGTACATTCAGGAGCCAGTACATGGCCACTACTTGCCAACAGTGTGTAACAGAGACGTGACCGATCGCCCAAGCGGCTAATGAGCCGATCAGTGGTGAAGAGGATAAAGTAAGTAAAGGACCCTACTGCATGGAATAAGCATCTGATGGCTTTGTTGGCTATTCTTGGTCAAATTGCCTCATTGTTTGTATACTAGCACTGTCTAGGTACAGTACATTGAAAATTGTATACCTGCACGGCCTATGTACACTGTATACCTGCACGGCCTATGTACACTGTATACCTGCACGGCCTATGTACACTGTATACCTGCTCGGTCTATATATATATGCCTCTGCTTCCATCAGAAAACCATCGTGCTCCCAAAACGCCTCCCCGTAAACAGCGTGCGCCATTAAACCTAAATTGTGACAGTAGTAGATGTAATTTAGTACAGTCATATTATTGTCGAGTTTCATGTCTGACGGAATCACTATGCTCTTCATATAGACTTTCAGGTTTATCACAACAAAAAGATCAGTGAAAGTTTGTTCCATTTTCCAGCGTTAATTCTGGTAACTTATCATCCTAGTGGGCCGATTTAGTGAATGTTGTAAAAGATAATTATCCAAATAAGATGAACAGTATAGGGCTCTCTTGCTGCCCCAAAGAGTCGCTGGCTTGAGTCGGCATCCTACTCCAATACCATCTACTGTTACCACCACTATACTATAACACCGCTACCACAACAACACCACACCACTACCACAACACCACACCACTACCACAACACCACACCGCTACCACAACACCACACCACTACCACAACACCACACCACTACCACAACACCATTACCACGATTTTTTTTCTCTCATCGTTGAAGTCGCTTGCGTTTCTATCTAAATATTTCGACTTCAAATTATTTGTTCTTGAGAATATGTTGTAATACCCCTGTGCTTCTTATTATTGAGCAGTGTATCTTGGTGTGTCACCTACTGGAGCTATCGCGTTTAAGAACATGATGGAGTTGTGTTCTGTGACTGGGATAAGAGCTATTATTTAGTGTACATTAAGCATGGGGTCTCCTTGCCTTGTAGACATCTAACCAATACTATTACCCAGAGTCGTCTTGTTGTGTGCTTAAGTAAAATTTAATTTTGGGTGCAAATTTTTTTTCGTGGTAATAAAACAAATTTCTATGGACAAAAATCATCAGTCACATTGAAAAATTCATTGCACACAAAATTCAGTAACATGTCAACATACTTTTCAATTATTATGTAACCAACATGTGTTTTGTCTTGACATTTCCACTTGTTGTCGTCAGTGTGGCGGGGGTTTACCTTGCATTGTTGGGCGTAAAGGTCGGAGAGCGGGATGGTGCTGTCCCAAGTGGTCACGTTGGTGCCGGACAACAAATCTTTGGCCAAACTGTTGTACAGGTCGATGTTGGCAAGATTTCTTACGGTAAACTTTGAGTCATCCTGGAAACAAAAATTAGTACTACATAAGACTAACAAGATGAAGGGTTGTTTTGGGAGACCATTGGCAAAATTGTGCACTGTGACTCTTTTTCCTGGTGAACTATATTTAAGCTGGGATGTCTTCTGTCTCAAATTATTTACGAGTCAACCCAGGGAGAAAGCCGGGTGGTCCTGGCGTCACAAAACACAGGTACAGTACGTAGCTTTTTCTGTGTTCCGGTTATTTGTAAACCAATAAGGTGTTTAGGACAAGCCGTTGAGTCTGTGGTTTAACTATATAAGAGGATTTGGTTACACTAGGCACTAGTCAATATTGCCTTGCACTGGGGATTCGAACCTAGGATGGCGACTGACTCGCTAATTCATTAATCAGTGTGGGATGAGTTGCAGTCATTCACGAAGGAAAAAATTGGAAATTTGAGGTAAACGCAAAACGCTTTTTGTTCCTCCCATAAAATACAAGTTATCTAACTGGTTAGCCAATTAGACGCAGACGTTCCGCCAGTGATTTGATTATCTTGTTTATAAAAATGTGGCGAAAGGGGACTAGCTTGAGCTAACGTCTTCTTGTAAGCTGGTTCTCGTAAATACTTAATGCTTCAGGATATATTATTTATAAAGGACTACAAAATACAGAAATATATAGAAGATGAAGAACATCATACTGTACCATGTCTGAGACTACTTGAGTTAGAGGACTACAGAGCCAATAGTGTACACCTGACAATAATTATATGCGAGAGGAAGAGGTGACATACCTGTAAGTGATCTTGTAGCTTAAAGACGACAGATGAGTAAGAAGTGAGTTTAGTTAGTAGAGAGCGGATGCTGTACAGGTACTCATAGAAGGCGGACACTGCTGCCAGGGGCCCGTCTCTAAAGTAAATTCTGGCCGTGAGCTTCATCCAGTGGAGAGTTGTACCTTGGGTAGACATGGTGAAATTGTAATATAAAGGTACTGTTGAGTACATGCAATAGCATATTCCTCAGCAATTGGTTAAGTTATCTGTCTAAGGTTTTAAAGTATCGAGTCGAGACAGTGCCTGCAGGGACGAGACAGTCTATGAAACAAGGTACAACACGTTCGTTTATCTTCGAACGTTCTTATAACCTGGCTGTTGGACTCAATCGCACCTATTATCAAACTCTTACGAGCTCATAGGAAGACTAAGGACCCTGTCAATCTTAATAAAATATGTGAGTGCCTCTTCGAATATTGGCGCGATTACACAAAATATTGATCACTGACGCTATGAACACTACGGTGCGGCACGACTAACGCAGCGGCAACGACCGACTCGCTGAATACCGCCGTGCTCTCAGCTACATGTCCGCAAATTGAGTTAAACGTGAAAAGAGATGTTAAATCTTTTGTCGTTTTCTGCCATTTATCTTGGGGTAGACCTGTGTTGCTGGTGGCTCGAGTCGGCAGTGGTGGTGGAGGTGTGGGTAAGTAGGGTAATTACGTTACTGTTCCATTAGATCTTCAACATTTCTCGATAAAAGCTACAGTACCTTGGATTAATTGGACAAGATCGAAATTAAATAATTTATTTTGTCTTATATTGGAAGTTCACATCACAAGGGGTTCATATTCTGCCTAGCGGCACTCAGATAAATGCTCAGTACTTGTTATCAATGCCTTACAAGAACTGTCTCACCACCCGACAAGAGGCGAAGAGAATAAAGTAGTGCGATGTTATATTTTCTGTTTGAGTGACCATTTACTTTCTTTGGTTGAAAACTGGGACCTTGTTTTCTTAAGTATGAGCTGAAATCGTCATTGCAGGGGCGGATCCAGTGGGGATCCGGACTCCTCCTTTTCATCAGAAAATTCCAATACTTTTTCTTTAATGCAGTATTGTACTCTGGCATTTTTGTATAATAAAAAGTAATTACTATGGACCTCAAAATATCTCCTAATATCAAGAGCACACGGCTTCAAAATTGCCTCTAAATGTCCATGATATTAGTCAGATTTCAAAATAATTTCTTCGGGTGCTTACAGTCCCCCCCCCCCCACCATCTGGGTGGGCTCGCTGTGCTCTCTATGTTCCCCCCACCCACAACTTCTTGGACCCCCATTTTGATATTCCTTGATGTGCCGTTGCATTGGGGTGTTGTGGACCTGTAGTTATGGGCAACACACCAAGCTTGTTACAACAACTAACAAAATAAGGAAATTTTGGGTATGCTTAATATTTAAAGGTGTAATAATTTCCTGTATACTCTTATTTCTAAGGCTACTGTATATATCATTAAGAAATTTGTCCTCACCCACATAAACAGTTTTCTATGTTTATGGGGCATTTTGAATGTTTCTTATATCAAAACAACAGAAATGACGACGTTTCCCCTAACTTACCCCGGTTTTTTTAATTATCCTTCTAGCTTAAGTTAAAAGGAATGTCTTCAGTTTTATATACAAATCTATAAAATAATAATCTAGTAGCCTACAAAATATAGCAGCGCTTACAGCCTTACACTAAAGGCGTCTATTGAAAGGCGCAAAAAACATTCAGAGGGAAGAGCTAACACCTTGATCAGGCCGCTTATGAGAATATTTTGATTAATATTGAAGAGTTGTGTGCATGTCAGGCAAAAAAACTGTGATATAATAATAATAATAATAATTTTATATACAGTAGTATGGCGTGAAAGAATTAAAAAGGATTTCGCCTAGTTGAAACCACTTTTGACTCCGCCCATTTTAACGTGGGCGCTGTCCGATTTCATTAGTCGCTGGTGAATTTGGTGTAAAATTATACAGTGGTGTTGACCTACCAGTGGTGTTGACCTACCAGTGATGCTGACTTACCAGTGGTGTTGACCTACCAGTGGTACTGACCTACCAGTGGTGTTGACCTACCAGTGGTGTTGACCTACCAGTGGTATTGACCTACCAGTGGTACTGACCTACCAGTGGTGTTGACCTACCAGTGGTGTTGACCTACCAGTGGTGTTGACCTACCAGTGGTGTTGACCTACCAGTGATGCTGACTTACCAGTGGTGTTGACCTACAGTGGTACTGACCTACCAGTGGTGTTGACCTACCAGTGATGCTGACTTACCAGTGGTGTTGACCTACCAGTGGTACTGACCTACCAGTGGTGTTGACCTACCAGTGGTGTTGACCTACCAGTGGTGTTGACCTACCAGTGGTGTTGACCTACCAGTGGTGCTGACTTACCAGTGGTGTTGACCTACCAGTGGTGTTGACCTACCAGTGGTGTTGACCTACCAGTGGTGTTGACCTACCAGTGGTGTTGACCTACCAGTGGTACTGACCTACCAGTGGTGTTGACCTACCAGTGGTACTGACCTACCAGTGGTGTTGACCTACCAGTGGTGTTGACCTACCAGTGGTGTTGACCTACCAGTGGTGTTGACCTACCAGTGATGCTGACTTGCAGTGGTGTTGACCTACCAGTGGTGTTGACCTACCAGTGATGCTGACTTACCAGTGGTGTTGACCTACCAGTGGTACTGACCTACCAGTGTGTTGTACTGGTACCTACCAGTGGTGTTGACCTACCAGTGGTACTGACCTACCAGTGGTGTTGACCTACCAGTGGTGATTTGATTTTGATTTTGCCGCTTGCAGCGGCTACTTTATTGTGCACCCCACACTCATCCTGTGAGCGGTAGCGCAAAAGGATTACAGAGTAGGGTTTACAAAGGGTCATAATAATTAACCCCGGTTGTCAGGATATTATGGCACCGAAAGTTACACAGTATTTCATTTACATTATTTGTTTAGTTCTATACATAAAGGGTAACTTATTCACAAATGCGTGAGAACAGGCGTGTGAGGCAGTATGTCTGGCCTCACACTTTGTTATTCACATTTACGTGGGAGGTATTCAAGCACATTGCGTATTTGGTTCTGTACATGAGAACTGATATAGTTACTGAGTGCAAAAAAGTGGATACAATCTTAATATGTCGGCTATCTTGCCATTAGAGATGAAGTGTTGTGCCATTTCACACACAGTGTGCTTGGACCTGTCCCTAAAAGGTTCTATCTTCACACAGTCGAGGACGTAGTGTTCAAGTGTGTGGCCATATGTATGGCCACACACTTTACATTTAGTTTTGTTTACATCTGCTTGAGGAACATACTGCCAGAGGTACTTATATCCTAACCTTAATCTAGCGGTTACAACATCTTGTAATCTAGTGATCTTGTTACTTGCTCCATATACATGTTTCACTTGATACATCTCATCATGGTAAACTATGGATCGACTAGTGCCTGTTTGCACTTGTCTACTTGCGTCAAACTCATCAATAAGTTCTTTCCTAATTACAGTTTTAAGGGTTCTTTTTGACAGACCCAAATTGTATTCAACGGTGTCTTTGTTAGACGCGAGTTTGGCGAGGGCATCAACTCTGTCATGTTTTATGAGGCCTATGTGAGAGGGGATCCACAACAGTTTGACCCTGACACCCCGGTCAACAAGGCACGCATATTTGTGTCTGGCTTCAGAGACAAGATCGTGACAACCTGAGTCGAGGGTACCAAGGGCAAGTAGTGAGGATAGAGAGTCAGTGATGATGAGACTGTCAGTAACAGTGGTTTCAATGAATTTAATAGCTGTGAGTATGGCAACTAATTCAGTTTGTAGAGTGGATGCCCAGTTGTTAATTCTAACTCCTTTCTCAATTATATTACCGTCAGGTTGAGTCACAACAATAGCACTTCCAGCCCTCCCACAGGCGGTGTTTAGAGATCCATCAGTGTAGATGGTCTGTGTGATATTATCATCAGTCTGTAGAGTGTGTATGTGTTCAAGGGCTCTCAATTTGGCAGTGTGTTGGAGATAAATGCTTTGTATAATTAATTTTTTAGGCGGATACGTCGGTATTGTGATACCAGCTGGGACTCGGGGACTCCTTGATGCGAAGTCTGTAGAGAGAAGTAATCTTATTAGCTTTATGCTGGGCAAACAGCACGATGAGTGTGATGTTCCATATACTGAGTGGGAGCTTGACGCCGCCCTCGCCAGGGGTAGGTCTACTTCCCCTGGAGAGGACGGAGTCACCTACAACATCATTAGACTACTAAGGCGCGTGCCAGGCAATCCATTGTTGGTATTGTACAATATGAGTCATGCCGAGGGCCAACTACCCACATCATGGACCAGCAGTATTGTTGTACCAATACCGAAACCAGGACAGCCTGATGCCTTTCGTCCCATATCACTAACCAGCTGCCTGTGTAAAACCTTTGAGAGGATGGTTCTTGGCAGACTCTTATATAGAATCAGAGAACACATGTCTCCTAACATAAATGGCTTCACCCATGGTAAAGGTGTACATAATTGCATCACCACATTCCTAACTGTGCATGGTGATGAAAGGCACAGATACACCACATTTCTTGACCTAAAAGCTGCATTTGATATTGCCAATAGGCAACTGATATTGTACGAACTAGCCAAAATGGATATAGGAGGTAGGCTGTTACACTGGATAAGTGGTTACCTAACCAACAGAAGGGCTGCTGCACTGTTTCAGGGTTACAAAAGTGAAGTTAAAGATATGCAACTTGGTACCCCTCAAGGTGGAGTACTTAGCCCCACTTTGTTCAATGTTCTTATGAATGCATTATTAAATTTAATACCAGACAACCCCAGCAATATCTCAATCAGCTATGCTGATGATATTCTTATACATACTAAAACTCATCGTGAAATGCAAACCACCCTGAACCATGTATACGCAGCCTGTGAACACCTCGGTCTTATTATCTCCACTGACAAAACTAAGGTGTTCAACAAACAAGCTGGGAACCGCAAACGCGGCCCCGCCAAGTTCAAGATAGGTAACAACACTATTGACTATGTTTCTTCTTTTAAATATCTTGGTGTTTCCGTCCCTTGTACCCTACCTGCCATACAACAGCTAACCCGCCAATGTACTGACAGACTGAGACCTCTTAGAAGTGTAGCGGGGTACAGCCCGCACTATGGTGCTAATATTAGAATTGTTAAAACAATGTACCTAGGCTATATAAGATCTCTGATAGATTACCACGCACCAGCCCTGGTCATTCGTGACGGGAAAGGCGTTGACAAGCTCGAGAAAATGCAAAATAAAGCCCTCAGAATTATCCTAGGATGTCCCATGAGCACTAAAGTACTTAATATGAGGAAAGAACTAGGTATACCCAGTGTTAAAGATAGAATAATTGAAGTCAACCTCATGATAGCCCTGAGGCTTCTGCGTGGTGATCCTGATAACATTGTTTCCTTAAAATTGCTAGAATGTATGAACCATGGGACTACTGAGTCTAAATGGATCCAAACTACAGCTACACATATGAAGATATTTGGACTAGACCACCTGTACAAAGTTGAGACACAACAGCGCTTCCTGCCACCCTGGCGGACAGTTCCCCTAGTGGTGTTGACCTACCAGTGGTGTTGACCTACCAGTGGTGTTGGCCACCAGTGATGCTGACTTACCAGTGGTGTTGACCTACCAGTATTGTTGACCTACCAGTGGTGCGACTACCAGTGGTGTTGACTTACCAGTGGTGTTGACCTAGTGGTGCTGACTTGCAGTGTTGACCTACCAGAAGTGTTGACCTACAGTGACTGACTTACCAGTGGTGTTAACCTACCAGTGGTACCTGACCTACCAGTGGTGTTGACCTACCACCTGTGGCTGTTGACCTACCAGTGGTGTTGACCTACCAGTGGTACTGACCTACCAGTGGTGTTGACCTACCAGTGGTGTTGACCTACCAGTGGTACTGACTTACCAGTGGTGCTGACTTACCAGTGGTGTTGACCTACCAGTGGTACTGACTTACCAGTGGTGTTGACCTACCAGTGGTGTTGACCTACCAGTGGTACTGACTTACCAGTGGTGCTGACTTACCAGTGGTGTTGACCTACCAGTGGTGTTGACTTACCAGTAACGAGGAGTGAAGGAGCTTTTCGAGGTTCACTCAGCCACTTGTGTATGAAGGTAGGCAGACGCTCCAGCCGGGGGTCCCAGTGGTAAGTGAGCCGCAGAGGCAAGTCGAGGTGTTTCACATACAGGGTCATGCCGTGATAATTTTTGCGGCGCAACAAAAATAGCTGGTTGATGTCCTGCCAGTGTTCCTGTAACACAATCACTTCTGATTGACTAGTATTGTATTTTATATATATATATATATATATATATATATATATATATATATATATATATATATATATATATATATATATATATATATATATATATGTGTGTGTGTGTGTGTGTGTGTGTGTGTGTGTGTGTGTTACGGCCCCGTTTGTATGATTGCCGAGTTCAAAAACTGGGCAGTAATTTTGCCCAATTCGCGAAATGGGTTTCCAGACTAACATATTTTTACCCAACTCAACTTAACCTACCTATTTTTACCCAACCCAACCTTACCTAACATAGGCTAGCTAACTTAAATTAGGTTAGGTTGAGTTAGGTTATAGCCTTATAGGTCATTTTGCCTAGCTCATTTAATAGGCTCCTAATCTAGCCTAGGTTAAGTTAGGTTGGCAAGGTTAGCTTAGGTTGACTGCCCAGATAATGAACGGAACAATTTCACGAACACATACACGAGACGTTATGAATGTTTATAAGAACAAAATCCTTACGGTGGTGCGAGGTACAACCACTGTAATGTCTGTCATAGGTTTAACACAATTAAATTAACCATTCCAGGTTCCACCATCACTGGTAATAATGTACAGCCGCCTGCCATATCTCCCAATACTGTCATTATTATCCTGCAGTGAGACAGTAACCCACCTCAGTATCGTTTGCGAAGCGGTACTGTAGCCTGGGTCCTCGGATGCGGCTCACCAACACGTCGAACACATTCCTGATGTGAGAGTCTCCCACCATCACCCAGTAGACTCCTGCTGCTCCGCCCCCCCTTCCCCCTGCTGTTGCTTCCCCTCCTGGTGTTAACGCTGTTTCTTCTGTTTGTGCTGACGTTGTTCCTCTTCTGCCGTTTATACATGTTACATTAATAACTTGAAAAACTGCATGAATCTGCAAATTTATGATTAATATCCATTACTGAATTTTATTCCTACTGCAAAAGTTTCCAAAAATTACGTACATAAGAAGCTCTTCCTGAAATACTGAAGTACAGTTTACATAAGTTCCCTTTGCAGAAGGAGTCAGGAGATAAAGTTCAGACAATGAAACTTTTCCAAAACTTTCTCTACCTTGAAATTGTCCCGAAGTAGTGTTACGTGCAGTGAACGTATCGATTTAAGGATAGTTTAAGCATAGCCTGTATTGGTTCTGGCGTTTTTTGTGTGTGCATCTTAACACACACACACACACACACACACACACACACACACACACACACACACACACACACACACACTGACTAATGATGTCTTATCATTCAGTTGACGTCAGCAAGTAACCCCTTGCCAGCGAAGCAAATTTTGTTTACAGTAAGCGCAAGTGTTTATGACTGCCTGAATGGCGTGGAACACCCTGCCACGCTACGGTCTATCTAGCCTTGATGACGACCGTCCAACATACTGATCATCTTTAATATTACTGAGATAACTAACTCTCTACAACACATCCTGCTTGTTAATTGGAAAGACAAGACAAACTTCCCCAACATTTCCCTCTCTACCTTACTCCCAGCTTCTCTTCACATACCCACTTCCTCAATGTATATACACTCAAAAGGGTTCTAGGACATATTTCGTCACTTCTTCAGTATAAACTAAATTCAAACTTACCCTAACCTAACCATGACTTCATCGCCTTCAAAAAAAGACCTTATTATCTAAATTGGATAAATATAATACTGTATTCAACAGACCGATGACGAATTATCTGTCCACCACTCAATAAGGAAAATGTAATCTATGTTATCGAGGAAAGAATGGCCCCTCGGGAACTCTCGCCCCACGCGTCATATAATTAATTGTCAGAAGGCAAGCATGAACTCCGGATGTATCTGCTAGGCGCCTAGACTGCCCTGCGCTTTACCTTACAGAGGATGTGAGGCGGTGCCCAGTAAACTAGCCCTGCACCGGCCTGAAGCGTATCTGAAATCATATTACTTAGAAAAGCTATTCCTTCGGGATTATGAAACAATATTATCCATTAATCCAACATTATTCCATCACTAACGCACTGTTTTAACACTAAACCACGTGTCCAACAGTCCCCCAACACTAAACCACGTATCCAACAGTCCCCCAACACTAAACCACGTATCCAACAGTCCCCCAACACTAAACCACGTATCCAACAGTCCCCCAACACTAAACCACGTATCCAACAGTCCCCCAACACTAAACCACGTATCCAACAGTCCCCCAACACTAAACCACGTATCCAACAGTCCCCCAACACTAAACCACGTATCCAACAGTCCCCCCCCAACACTAAAGCCCCACTTGGTAATGCTCTGGGCAGTTTTACCACGTAGACTGTATCACATTACTGACCGTCGTGATATAAAGTGTGTCTGGTGTGTGTCTAATGAGGACTAACACCACACACACACACACACATACAGAGCTGCCTAGTATGGGTCAATAGGCACGCTGCAGTTTCTTTCATTCTCAGGAAATAAAAGGGAAGATATGACAGCATGAGCAAATAACGTTGAAGATATAGGATCAGCAAGTGTGTGTGTGTGTGTGTGTGTGTAACGACCATCTTAATAACTGACTATAATAGCATCTGGTTACTTCAACTAAAGTAACCAAACTAAAGTAACTCAAACTATCTCACCATTCAATTGTTAGTAAAGAGATTAACTTCACTCAGTTTTGTACTGTATAATATCTTGCGCTCATGTTTGTGACACAATACCTGAAGTTTCTTGAAAACTGAAGACGATGATTCTTGGCACATTCCAATATGTTGCTGCCGTTGTTCATAGTGTAGTCCAGCATCTTACAGCATGTGTTGTGAGCTGTGATTCCCGTATAGAGATAACAACGCTGAGAGAGAACAAGTGACTTTTTCGTGTTCTTGCTGCTCACTGTACTGTCTTCACGTCTATAAGGAAGGGAAGCTATCAAGTAGTGTCCGGTACTGACCACCTGGGAGACGGGACTCGGATGACTATGCCATACGAATATCAACACATGAACCAGTGTTGCCAGCATTAACACGCAGCAGCACCACCACCTTTTCTTTCCATATATCTCCTGCCACATTATGAGTAGCGGATGCAATTGTTTAAATAACACAAAGCTGTTGCTATTCTTCCTGAGATAAAATTACAGTCATAAGCAACAGTCCAGGACTCAGGAGGTATTTAACTTGGTAAAAAAAAAGTATCTTTACAATATTCTTGTGCGAAACAAAATTACACCACGAATGAAGGTTTTTGATAAAGGCTAAAAAAAATGAACTAATATTATATTTTGAATGAAGTAACTAAATTTGGCCTACCCTAATATAGGTAGGAAATGTTCCAAATTCGTGGGACCATCCTGGAAGATACTGTCTTTACCGATACAGTACTGGAGGGTTGGGGTAAACGCAGCCGGTAGAGTCGAGGACAAGTTCACCCGGGATGGAAGGACACCCACGTCACACTACCTCAAGTAATCACCTTGTTCTTCACTATCATATAAGAATATCATCACTTCTTTTTCCTGTTCATTTATGGAAGGGTTGTGTGTTAGTAAATATCCATTACGAGTCAACACACATTAATTGAAACGGTGCACAGACGACGTTGTATGAGGTACCACGGTGCACAGAAATGTTGTATGAGGGTATCACGGTACACAAACGATGTTGTATGAGGGTATCACGGTACACAAACGATGTTGTATGAGGGTATCACGGTACACAAACGATGTTGTATGAGGTACCGTCAGTAAAGAACCAGCCGGATGCCAGGGAAGCACACGATCGAGCACTTTACCTCGTCGCTCATAAAAAACTGAAGCGTCATCTACCTGGCTATGGACAACCTCGCTACAGCCAATCACAGACCAGGTAATATGCAGTATTTATTCATCCTTGTTACAGCCTATTAGAGTCCGGGTAATATATTTGTCCATCCTTGTAATAGCCAATCACAGCCCGGGTAATATATGTGGTGATGTGCTGGGCTATGTGGTGATGTGCTGGGCTATGTGACGAAATTGAGTGCACATTTTTTTTACATAACTTAATGAAACATAATTTTCCCCAGTTTTCTGTGCGAGGGAATATTTCCCGTCCGCAGTCTGTGTTTTAGTCAGTATGGCTCTCATTACTCTACCGGTAGCCTTACCAGAATTTCCCTAGCCTGGGATATTTTCTTCTTGGCCAGGGGAAACACCGTGATAGCTCTCTGTGGGGTTCAGAGTTCTCTTATTATTTCTGTGACAGTTAAGTGATAGTGTAAGGGCACTGGGCAGTGAGATAGTGCAACTGTCCTTGACTGTATCCTCGGCCAAAGCATTTCCTCCCAGATTCCTCTTGCTACACGGCACGGATCACCTGAAGAATAGCCCCCAGCTTATTTCACCTTAAGATCAAGCATCCTATTACTAGCCTTACCTAATTCCCTCGGTAGAGTTAGAGTGGAAAAACATCAGGTAAAATAAGCTGGGATTGCTAATATTCACGTGATTCTATGACATTATTTCTTGTTTCCCGAATTTCTCTCTAGTCACACAGGCTGGACGGGGCAAATGGGGGTAAAATTGAGCTGATAACTTGTACAACAAAAATTTTAGTGGGATTCCTCAAGCATCTTTACGACCTACTTTACCCTCCTCCCTACCCTCTCCCTGTGCACACGACCGAGTAAATAACTTTATTAATAATAATTAAAGGATATTTTTGTTCAATTATTGTCGTTGAGTTAAAGTATTTGATCTATGCTCATTATCATCACAGTCCAGAGAAGGTTTATTCCTCTATTGTCAAAAGTTTCTTGTTAGACTGTGAAGCGTGAGCAGACGTCAACCTGCCCAATAGGTATGATATAATCGTTTATTAAGGATTTTAGTTTGACAGCTCGCCATTGCCACAAGGCCGAGGTATATCAGTTGTCTTTTAGATTGTTAATAATACGGTAAGGTGGACGTGTCTCTGTTAATGGTCTGGGCATTGATTTTCAAGTGCTTCATCCTTAATACTGTTTTACACAAAATGAATCTCTTGTAAAACCAAGACCTATGGCTATATGCTGTATGAGGCTTATCCGAGGTACGATTGTTGCGACTTGACAAGTTTTCTCAGTATAGGAGAGATTTTATTCCAATGTGATTCCACAGTTTGGGCTGGTAGACTGTTCCATAGGTCTACCAGCCTCTGTGTTCAGAAATATGTCCATATATTTGTTCTGCATGATAACTTGGCGAGCTTGTGATTCTGTCCCCTCGTGTTGGTGGTGCGTGACATCACAAAGAAGTGTCCCGGGTGTACGTTTTCCATCACTTTCAGGATTTTAAAAGTTTGTGACATCTGACCTATTGTTATTGGTCAGCTCTTCTCTTCAGTAGTGAACGTCCTTACAGTACGTGCCCCCAGGGGCTAATAATAAAGTGTTCCATAGACCATCATCACCCGTCTGGCCCCTCACTTTAAACTGTTTCCCCGTTGACATATGATGGGCTACGGTATCTGATTGATTAATTAATTTGCCGATATAAGCATTCACGCCGTACAAGAGTAACTTGGATGACAATTAAAATTATATTTAAATTAAATAATTGGATCTTACAGTAGTTTGTTAACTTCAGTACTGCGTGACTCATTTCTGAAGCCTTCCTTCCCTTCATAAGCCTGACTAGCCACGTCACCTGGCTCACTCTTTGTTTATTATTATGCTCTTTATATTTTTATTTTACATTGTTATAACTAAATTCACTGTTGTATATATGTACTATTGCTTTCTACACTGTGGTATCTAGGATGACCTTTACATCATATTTATATGGCGAGCACCACTACTCACATAGGGATGGTGTACTGTACAGCATCATTTACTGTATATCTACAACACTGTTTGTAGTTACCATATAATAGCCCAAACTCAGCCTAACCTAACAACATGTTTTGTGTTCTCATACTGTTATGTCCACCGTCCGCGAGTCAAACATTGGGATGAGGAGGGAGTAGAAGTTACTGACAATTATTTACGGTCCCGTGGATGAAAATTAGCACTTCCGGTTATTTTACCATTAACACACTTAAAGAGGGGATTAATTAACGTACTATTAGTGCAAGAGCGAACCCACTGACTGTTCAGGGAATGGTCGTTTAAGAAAATGCCTCAATGGAAGACATGCAATTGATTAATCGACTTTTGTTGCATTTACACGAATGTTGCAACAGGACGCGTGGCAGTGCTACACCACATTATCCTCGAGTTTGAGTGGCTAAATATTCATTATTATAGGTACAGTGCATCAGCACAGTGTATGCGTCTGTATATTATTATAAACAAGTTGTTCTAGTATGCAATACAATATAATGTACATTATATATTAAGATTAACGTACTAAAGGAGTCGGCTGTGGCGCTGCTATTTTCTTAGGTATACGACTATTACTTTCAATAGTAATAGTAGTCATTAATGACGTTATTAATAATGACTACAGATTATGTGTAAACATAAATATAAATAACAAAATCCTTCAGAATTCTTTAGAGATCAGATTATTCTCGTTTTCTGTGTGGTGACGTAGTGAGCAGCAGGGGCGCTGCTCCCTCTCCCTCACTCACTCAGTGCTGAAGCAACACGGTGCAAGGTATAAAGTGCGTCACCAACGTAACTAATTGACGTCCTTGTCAAAGCCTAAAACTACAGCTAGTGTGCTATGATTATTTGTTTATGACGCTGTGGCTGTCCACTTGGAAGGGTAACCAGGAGAAGGCTATTCAGTTGAGGTAAGCTGGTCGTACGCACGAAGATAAGTCACCGCCAACTTAGCCATTGATACACTAGTGGTAGGAGGCGTCACGCCGAACTGTTTACATTATTAGCGAGTCGTATTGGCCTGTGTGTAACTGCATTCCTCTCGCCTGCAGCCGTCTGTGTTAAAAGGAGTGTGTGTGTAGGTGGTGGATCATTTCTCTGTTTAAGGTAACTAACTACCTGTAGTTCTGTTTTGGATTGTCAGGGGTTGGTTATTTGAACTCCCCTTCCAAAGCACAGAGGTGTACTCGAAGGGGAGGTGTATTATTTTAAATTTTGATTCACAAAGAATTGCACCGTGAATTCACCAGTGAGTGAAATTGTATGAATGTCCGTGACCGACTTAAGTTGAAGTATACATTAGATATTACACCCAAAATAGCATGTGAATTAAGCTGAGATTACCTCAAGAGGATATGTTTACTTGGTGACAGATGATAATATTAGAGCAGAATATTGGTCTGAATTTTTTGTATAATTATGTGTTGCGGTAACTACAGACTGTTGTGCAGACACGTGACTGTAGCCATGTGAGTTTTGTAAACAAACTGCCTGTAGGCCATTTTGAGGGGCTTAATTCGTAGGGACCTGTGGGCCCTGAAGGTGTTCTCGCGTGGTGGCCCCACTGTCTGACACTTGTGTTCATGCTTTTGCCTTTATATTACTATACCTTGATCCTCTTCGCCACTGATCGGCTCATTAGCCGCTTGGACGGTCGAAGTCTCTGTTACGCACTGTTGGTAAGTACCGGGCATGCATTGACTCCTGAATGCATCTTACTTGGCTGGTTGGCAGAGGGCAGGGTGATAGGGTCCGTGGCATTGGTGTTTCCACTCCGGCTAGTGTTTCCCAAAGAAACATTACCATCACTGTCTTAATCACTGGGGTCTGACTCTTGAAGGGTGTTGGATTCAGTATGACCAGGCGAGTTGGCGATGGCATCCATATCAGAGATGTCAGCGTCCATGAGAGAGCCTCTTCTGGGACGTTTATGTCGACCCTCCATGCTGGCAAAAACTTGCTGGCTGAGGGGACCTTTGTGGGACGATCGGGAAGTCAAGAGCACCTATGGGCACGTCTGTCCCGTTATGTGGTTACGCCACGACTGACCAAGAGAGAGAGAGGGAGGAGCAGGTCAGGTATGTTATGGCTTCGTTGACCTCGCCTGACCTCGGGAGTGTGAGAAAAGAAACACGTCAGATATACTGTTGTGCTAACATGAGCTGACCTCAGCCTGACCTCGCTCGCTCCCCGGAGGAACTGCAACCATGCGGACATGCTGGTGGATTACGTATCTACGCCAAGAAGGACGTCCCCTACCAACCTCTCGACGTCCCCCTTGAAGCCGACACTACCGACGTACAGGCCATCACAATCACACTAAAAGGTATGTCCCTCAATACTGTCAATGCCTATGGCTATGGCCTGGCACTTGACACTATTAGGGACCTGCCACGCTTTGCCATAAACATAAATTGTACCGGGAAATTTCCCCCCACACACTCATCATTCTGTCAATTTATGTAACTTGCTGACAAAACCCATGACCCTTCAAGCTTTTACGCCCTTAATGCATGAGTCATAAAGGCAAGCATGAACTCCTCATGCTTCCCAGATGGGCGCTGTAAACGCTTCTGTGCTTCACCTTGCACAGGAAGTAAGGGGGTGCCCAATAAACTAGCCCCCTCCCGGGCAATCTAAAAAAAATATCTGCAACCTCAGCCATGCATAACGTCAACAGCTGAGGCACAATTGAATAACTTGGTGAATAATTTGGTATTATACATTTGGGTAAATATTTATATAATGCAATTGGTGCTGTTACAGGCGAGCTAATTGATAACGATGGGAAATGAGCAATGTTCTGAACAGATATTTTTCATCACTTTTCACAATTGAAAACGTAAACACGATACCTGAGGTAGCAACTATCCACAGAGATCGTGAAAAAAATTGTAAACTCAGCAAGTTACTAGTAACGATGGTAGTAAACAAACAAATTAATACCTTAAAAGTCACCAGGTCCTGACGAGATATTTCTTCGAGTATTAAAGGAATGTAAGCAAGAGTTTAGTATGTCCTCACCTAACTTGTTAAACATGTCATTAAAATCGGGTGTAGTACCAAAATCCGGGAGAATAGCGAATGTGATACCGATTTTAAAGAAATGAAATGGATCACTATCTTCACACAACCGTCCAATCAGTTGAACATAAATTGTAGGATAATTGCTGGAAGGAAAAGTTACAAACTATTCAAAATCACCTTATGCTCATCAATGATGCCCTAAGAGAAACCCCTGCTCGCTGGAAATATGTCGACGACTCCACCATTGGGATCAGCGTCAACAATTCTGCTCCCAACTATACCGCCCTCCAGGATTTATTGAACAGTCTCCAAAACTGGGCCACCAACAACCATGTCACCATCAACCATACCAAGACCATGGTTATGCACATCAACCTCTCCTCCGACATTGTCCCACCTCCTTCCATTACCCTAGGTCCGAACACACTCCAGGTTGTAGATTCCACGAAGCTCCTCGGCGTCACCATAGACAACAAACTAAATTGGAAACCACACGTCCAGTGAAGTTGTCAATCCTCCAGTTTCCGTCTCCACCTCCTCCGCCGACTCAAGTCCCTCAGAGTTCCTGCACACAGCTCCTCAGTGTATGCTACAACATTCATACTTCCTAAGCTCACTATGCCTCCCCACCTGGTCTTCCTCCTAAATGCCACACAACGTAAACACCTAGAAGAAAGTGCAAAAGAGGGCATGCAAGATTATTCTCTCCCCTTCCTACTCCACATATCAGAAGCGCTCAACACACTGACCCTTTCGACTCTCACTGACCATCACCACGGCCTCATCTGCAAATTTGGTAAGGCTTCTACACCATCCCCGACACGGCCCCTACTACCACCTGAGATCCCTGTCCGAGAATTGCTGTTCGACACCACAACCGCATCCAGCCCATACGTGCACGAACTGATCGCTATAGAACAGCCCAGTCCCAACCATTGTAAAAATTATCAATAACATGTAATAAATCAGTGTATTCACTCCCATTAAACACTGCTCCCTACACTGTCACTATGTTGAAATGAACTGTAGTTTGAGCTGATCCCTATCTAAGTTATTATATGTCTTATTTGTGTCACTTGTATATTATTTGTAATTCGTAACCCATTCCCCAAATATGTAACTGTATATTTTCAGCCTTCTGGCTGCCAAGCTCTTTCAATAAACCGTTAATTATTATTATTATTATTATTAAGACGATTAATGACTCGGTATGGCTTTATGAGAGGGCGTTCTTGACTGACAAATCTATTATAATTCTTTTCAATTGTTTTCGAATAGGTGGATTATGACGTGGTTTACCGTGACTACAGCAAAGCCTTCGACAGGGTCCCCACACAAGACTAATATGTAAAGTGACGGCTCATGGTATTTAAGGTGTTATTCTCAATTATATTCAATCAATCATTTTCTTTTTACTCTAAAGCCCCCCGGCCCCGTTATGGGTCAATGACCTGTGCCCGGGTGGGTCAATCCCCGTTAAAAAAAAATAATAATAATCAGAGTACCATCCTTATATCTGAGGGTTGGCGACCACAGTCCTCCACTCTAAACGTTCTCAGGCTGTGTACTTGCTAACAGTGTGTAACAGAGCCCGTACTTGCAGGTACTAGGTAGCTACCAAACAGGGAGGTACTACGGCCTGAGAAAATATTGGAAGCATAATGTGTTGTCTAATGGTAGACCCTGCTGCCATATGTGACCAAGTCCCAGGTTGATGATCTGACTTTCTGCCTCATTTACACACAATTGCAGGGTCTCAATTGTTTCTCTTACTATGACAACACAACATACATATATTGTTCCTCACTTTTTATATATTTTTACATTTTTGTATTTATTTGTTGTTCTTTAGTATTATTATTATTATTATTATTATTATTATTATTATTATTATTATTAAATGTTATTAATTTTATTATTATTATTATTTTATTATATTTTCGCCCCCCAGGCCTTGATGTGGATCATAAAATGACCTGTGCCCGGATGGGCTAATGCCAACAGAGTGTAACAGAACCAGTACTTGCCCAAAAGTTGCTAACAGTATGTAACAGGGCCAGTACTTGCCAACAGTGTGTAACAGAACCAGTACTTACCAACATCTCGTCACATCCATGTAAAGTCCTTCCTCCCATGTAAAGTCCTTCCTCCCATATATAGTCCTTCCTCCCATATATAGTCCTTCCTCCCATGTAAAGTCCTTCCTCCCATGTAAAGTCCTTCCTCCCATGTAAAGTCCTTACTCCCATGTAAAGTCCTTACTCCCATGTAAAGACCTTACTCCCATGTAAAGTCCTTACTCCCATGCAAAGTCCTTCCTCACATGTAAAGTCCTTACTCCCATGTAAAGTCCTTACTCCCATGTAAAGTCCTTACTCCCTTGTAAAGTCCTTACTCCCCTGTAAAGTCCTTACTCCCCATAGCAAAAGTCCTTACTCCCCGCCTCTAGTCCTTCCTCCCCTTCTTAAGTCCTTACTCGCATGTAAAGTCCTTACTCCCCTTGTAAGTCCTTGCCTCCCCTGTAAAGTCCTTACTCCTGTAAAGTCCTTACTCCCATATATAGTCCTTCCTCCCATGTAAAGTCCTTACTCATGCTCAAGTCCTTCCTCCTCTTCTGAGTCCTTACTCCCATGTAAAGTCCTTACTCACATGTAAAGTCTTCACTCCATGTAAAAGTCCTTCACTCCCATATATAGTCCTTCCTCCCATGTAAAGTCCTTCCTCATGTAAAGTCCTTCCTCCATGTAAGAAGTCCTTACTCCCATGTAAAGTCCTTGCTCCCATGTAAAGTCCTTGCCTCCCCATGTAAAGTCCTTGCTCCCCATGTAAAAGACCTTGCTCCCCATGTAAAAGTCCTTACTCCCATACAAGTCCTTCCTCACATGTAAAAGTCCCTGCTCCCATGTAAAGTCCTTACTCCTTGTAAGTCCTTACTCCCCCCTGTAAGTCCTTACTCCCCATGTAAAGTCCTCCTCCCCATGTAAGTCCTTCACTCCCATATAAAAGTCCCCTTACTCCCATGTAAAGTCCCTTACTCCCATGTAAAGTCCTTCCTCCACATATAAAATCCTTACTCCATGTGGAAGTCCTTCCTCCCCATGTAAAGTCCTTACTCCCATGTAAAGTCCCTTCCTCCCATGTAAAAAGTCCCTTCTCCCATGTAAAGTCCTTCCTCCCATGTAAAGTCCTTACTCCCATGTAAAGTCCTTACTCCCTTGTAAAGTCCTTTCTCCCATGTAAAGTCCTTACTCCCATGTAAAGTCCTTCCTCCCATGTAAAGTCCTTCCTCCCATATATAGTCCTTCCTCCCATATATAGTCCTTCCTCCCATGTAAAGTCCTTCCTCCCATGTAAAGTCCTTCCTCCCATGTAAAGTCCTTACTCCCATGTAAAGTCCTTACTCCCATGTAAAGACCTTACTCCCATGTAAAGTCCTTACTCCCATGCAAAGTCCTTCCTCACATGTAAAGTCCTTACTCCCTTATAAGTCACCTGCTCCCCTGTAAGAATCCTTGCTCATATAGAGTCCTTACTCCCATATATAGTCCTTCACTCCCATGTAAAGTCCTTGCTCCCCATGTAAAGAGTCCTTACTCCTTGCTAAGTCATACTCCCTGTAAAGTCATACTCCCATGTAAAGTCCTTGCTCTAAGTCCTTCCTCCCATGTAGTCCTTACTCCATGTAAAGTCCTTACTCCATGTAAGTCCTTCCTCCCATGTAAAGTCCTTGCTCCCCATGTAAGTCCTTCCTCCATATAACAAAGTCCTTACTCACATATAAGTCCTTCCTCCCATGTAAAGTCCTTACTCCCCATGTAAATCCTTCCTCCGCTGTAAGTCCTTACTCCCATCACTTAAATTCCTTGCTCCTTGTAAAAGTCCCTTCCTCCAATGTAAAAGTCCTTCCCATGCCAAAGTCCTTGCTCCCCTTCTTAAAGACCTCTACATATATAAAATCCTTGCCTCCCCGTAATAAGTCCTTCCTCCCCATGTAAAAGTCCTTACTCCCATGTAAAGTCCTTCACTCCCCATGCAAGTCCTTACTCCCATGTAAGTCCTTCCTCCATGTAAAGTCCTTGCTCCCCATATAGTCCTTACTCCTTGTAAAAGTCCTTTCTCCCATGTAAGTCCCCTTACTCCCATGTCTTAAAGTCACTACTCCATGTAAAAGTCCTTCCTCCCCATGTAAAGTCCTTCCTCCCCTGTGTAAAGTCCTTACTCATAATGTAAAGTCCTTACTCCCCATGTAAGTCCTTCCTCCATGTAAGAAGTCCTTACTCCCCATGTAAAGTCCTTACTCCCCATGTAAAGTCCTTACTCCTTGTAAGTCCTTTTCTCCCCATGTAAAGTCCTTACTCCCGTAAAAAGTCCTTACTCCCATGTAAAGTCCTTCTCCACATGTAAGTCTTGCCTCCCATGTAAAAGTCCTTGCTCTACCAAAAGTCCTTCTCACATGTAAGTCCTTACTCCATGTAAAGTCCTTACTCCCATGTAAGAAGTCCTCACTCCTTAACAAAGTCCTTACTCCTGTAAGAATCCTTCCTCCCACATGTAAAGTCCTTGCTCCCATGTAAAGTCCTTCCTCCATGTAAAAGTCCTTACTCATGTAAAGTCCTTACTCCCATGTAAGTCCTTCCTCCTATGAAGTCCCCTTACTCCCATGTAAGTCCTTCCTCCATGTAAGATCCTTACTCCCATGTAAGTCTTCCACTCCATATGAGTCCTTCCTCCCATGTAAATCCTTACTCCCATGTAAGTCCTTCCTCCATATGAAGTCTTACTCCATGTAAAATCCTTGCTCATGTAAGTCCTTCACTCCATGTAAAGTCCTTACTCCCAGTGTAAAGTCCTTGCCTCCATGTAAAAAGTCCTTACTCCCATGTAAAAGTCCTTCACTCATGTAAGTCCTTACTCCCATATAAAAGTCCTTCCTCCCCATATAAAGTCCTTCTACCTCCCATATAAGTCCTCTCCCATAAAGTCCTTACTCCTGTAAGTCCTTCCTCCCATGTAAGTCCTTACTCCATGTAAAAGTCCTTCCTCCCATGTAAGTCCTTACTCCCACTGTAAAGTCCTTCCTCCATGTAAGTCCTTCCTCCCATGTAAAGTCCTTACTCCCATAAAGTCCTTGCTCACATATAAGTCCTTCCTCCATAAAGTCCTTGCTCCCCACATGTAAAATCCCCTTACTACTCCCCATAACAAGAATCCTTACTCCCTTGTAAAGTCCTTTTCTCCCATGTAAAGTCCTTGCTCCATGTAAAGTCCTTACTCCATGTAAAGTCCTTCACTCATGTAAAGTCCTTGCTCCCATGTAAGTCTTACTCCTTGCCAAAAGTCCTTCTCACATGTAAGTCCTTACTCCTGTAAGTCCTTACTCATGTAAAGTCTCCTCCCTTGTAAAGTCCTTACTCCTGCCAAAGTCCTTCCTCCCACTGTAAGAAGTCCCTTACTCCCATGTAAAAGTCCTTACTCCCATGTAAAGTCCTTCCTCCCATGTAAAGTCCTTCCTCCCATGTAAAGTCCTTACTCCCATGTAAAGTCCTTCCTCCCATGTAAAGTCCTTCCTCCCATGTAAAGTCCTTACTCCCATGTAAAGTCCTTACTCCCATGTAAAGTCCTTCCTCCCATGTAAAGTCCTTACTCCCATGTAAAGTCCTTCCTCCCATGTAAAGTCCTTACTCCCATGTAAAGTCCTTCCTCCCATGTAAAGTCCTTCCTCCCATGTAAAGTCCTTACTCCCATGTAAAGTCCTTACTCCCATGTAAGTCCTTGCTCCCATGTAAAGTCCTTGCTCCATGTAAGTCCTTCCTCCCCATATAAGTCACTTACTCCCATGTAAGTCCTTCCTCCATTAACAAAGTCATATACTCCCATATAAGTCTTCCTCCCCATAGCTGTAAGATCCCCTTCACTCCCATGTAAAGGAAGTCCTTACTCCATGTAAGATCCTTACTCATAAGTCCTTCCTCCCCATGTAAAGTCCTTACTCCATGTAAAGTCCTTCCTCCATGTAAAGAGATTCTTACTCCCATATAAAAATCCCTTCCTCCCATGTAAGTCCTTACTCCCATGTAAAGTCCTTACTCTCATGTAAAGTCCTTTGCTCCCCATGTAAAGTCCTTACTCCCTGTAAAGTCACCCTTACTCCCATGTAAAGTCAGCCTCCCTGTAAAGTCCTTGCTCCCATGTAAAGTCCTTCCTCCCATGTAAAGTCCTTACTCCCATGTAAAGTCCTTCCTCCCATGTAAAGTCCTTACTCCCATGTAAAGTCCTTACTCCCTTGTAAAGTCCTTTCTCCCATGTAAAGTCCTTACTCCCATGTAAAGTCCTTACTCCCATGTAAAGTCCTTACTCCCCTGTAAAGTCCTTACTCCCATGTAAAGTCCTTCCTCCCATGTAAAGTCCTTACTCCCATGTAAAGTCCTTCCTCCCATGTAAAGTCCTTACTCCCATGTAAAGTCCTTACTCCCTTGTAAAGTCCTTTCTCCCATGTAAAGTCCTTCCTCACATTTGTACTATAGTGATGAAGAAATACAACTTGTGTTCCTTAGAGCCTGAGTTAAGGTGTTCTGAATACTGTACGATGCTACGGTTACTAGGCGTCTGAAAATGTGTTTACCATTGCAGTCCTTTAAGCTTTCACATACTTGTGTTGCCTTTGTTTAGATTATTTATATTATTGGTAAAACTTTACAAATTCAGTAAATAAATATTCCTTATTTGTTTTGTTTCAGAGACATATGAGGCATATTGAAGATCTGTCAAACACAAAGTTTAAAGAAGATAGCGGCTACAGATAAAACTACAGTACAGTGAAGCAAATGAATTACAGTTCTGTGCAGCTGTATGATTAAGTTGGCTAATGTCAAAATCCTGAGATAAACATTAGACAGCTTATTAAAGAAGGATAGACACAGTTTGGTTAAGAAAGGTGTACTGTATAAGGTGTGCCTTTCATTTATCAAAATACAGTATGGTGAAAATATTAAAACTTGATATAAGATCCAGTTACTATTTAGATATTGTACTGTACTGCACTGTACTGTACTATACTGTACTGCACTGTAAACTAAAATTAGATAGTGTATATATACATATATGGTGTTGAGACGGAGAAATGTCAGCAAATAACATGAAGTGCTTTCATTGTCCGGACTGCAGTAAGGAGTTTAGTAAAGAGAGTGTTTTGATCAAACACTTTAAAGTGCACAGTTCGGGGAAGTCGTATAAATGTAGTGTGTGTTACAATAAATATTCCAGCAAGAGACAATATAATGAACACCAGAAGTTACACTCAGACAAGGAATATAGCGCTTGTAGTATCTGTCAAAAACAAATGATCAGAACTTCTTTTCTTAGAAAATTTTGTGATGAGTGTAATTTGAAACCTAAGAAATATTTATGTGAAACTTGTGGAAAAGCATATGACTCTCAGATGGGTGTGAGGAGTCACTTGCAGAGAAGAAGTCATTCTATGTTCTATCAGTGTTTTAGGTGTGGCCTAATATACCAGTCAAATACTGCATTATTTGTTCACATGAGTCAACATCCTGACTTTGTGATAAAAATAGTTAGAACTTCCCAGGAAATTTTTCGTGAACATGATATCTCAAAATCAAGTAATATGGAGAGCTATAACTTGTCAACATCTCAACAAAGTCTGAGAAAACCATTTATGAAAGTATCCCAAGGAAAGGAAGATGGTGGAGGAAAATATGCCAAACATACTTCAACATCTGCATACACAAGTGAAGCGGTAAGTGTGAAACGACGTAAGAGGCTACCGAGCACCAGAGAATCAGAGAACAGTTTGGCCGCACAATATACAAACATGCAACAGGGTCTTCTGGTGTTTGATGATAATTTTCTGGCACAGTATGGAAGGTTGGGCCAAGACAGATCAGTTACAGAAGACATGAACATGCAACTTGGTATTCCTGGGATGAATGATGTGATGCTACCTGACGGAGTGTTAGGGCTACATGATGTGAATCAGGGTAATATAGTTAATCAGCAAAGCATCATTCCACACCATATTGTTCTACCACAACAAGATGGCAACACACACTATCAAGTTGCAGAAGAAGCACAACAAAATATGATGATCAGAAGCGTGACACAAGATGGGATATCAATATGTGATAAGCCTTTGTCAGAAGATAATAGGGTGGTAAATAATTCACTTCTCACAAGGACTGGACTTGGGCTGGACGATGCAAGACTTCATGATGCGAATGGAACACAGGATAATTCATTAAGTTTTGTTGGTGATAAATACCAATACAGAAATTTGGAACAAAGGCTTACGATGACACACGGTGGAGCCACAGCCTATGATAACATGAGACCACTAGGTTCCTCAGTGTCACAAGAGTGTAAAGTAACTACCTTGAGGCAACATCAGAAACAGCATAGTAGTATAGATGCAGAACTTGGAATAGTAAATCAAGAAGAGCGCTTGATATATGAAAAAATGTTTGGAGGCGAAGGAACTGTGGAGCAGAATGGTGAACTTGGACAAGTGGTCAGACACAACATGGTCAAAGCTGCAATTAAAGAGCAGAAGAAAGTAACACTGCAACATAGATGGGCATCTGATTACTGTGATGTTTTGTCAAGAGGGGTGCTTGTTGAGGATGAACAATCACTACATAAAATGCAATTATCTAATCCAGAAGCAGTTCAAGATAAAGATCCACAAAAATATAGCTCATTGAACTGTGAAAAGAGCAGCATATTAGATGACTTGAGAATGCACAGTAGTATGAAAAGAGTCAGTGGAACAAAGAATATTATTGATATGTGGAATGAGAGGAAAATGGTAGAGGAAAACTGTATACAAAACAGAGGCATGAAGCGCGGAAGTGGAGTGCAGCTGCAAAATGAAACCACACCACAGGAGGAGTTCATGCCTAACTACCGCGATAGAATACATCAACCCGTGGTGCAGAGTAAAGATGATAACCACGGTAGACAGATCCTCAATGATATATTACAAACCAGCGAGGTACGTCAACAAATTGAAACACAGTCATTGTTATCAGTTACTGACATGAAGAATGAAACTACAGTTATGAACATACTGTGGCTAGAGCATAAAAAGAGGCAGAACAGAGCTAAGGATATTGAGAATAAAGAAAAAACTAAAAATTTGTGTAGCTTAAAAAAGGAAGAAGAGAGCAGATTAAGCTTAAGTTTATCTCAGGAAACGTGTGACTCTCATCAGTGTCAGGTTCATGGTGATGCTCATGATAGGGAAGCACTCTGTCCTAATAAGAGAGATTTAGCTTTTAGTTTAAATGAGGGAAACTTATGGAATCGTTTTGATGAAAATTGCACTAATGTTCCTGTACAAAATTCCATTGTGACAGGCGGTGTTAATGTTGAAGATTATATTAACCATCTCATGTGGCACTAAAACTTATACGCTGTTTATTTTATTTTTACCCGTATCCATAATATTCCGTGATTCCTCCCGTAAGAAGATAAATAAGTACTGTACTGTACAGGGGGATATAGGATTAGGATAACAAGTAACTTTTGAATCTCCACTGGGGCAGATGTGTCGCTCAAAGGAATAATCATTAAATGGGCCTCCCCTCAACTTGCAGAACTTATCCATTACAGTTCAGGGGTCATCTGTCGTTTGCAAGTTTTTTTTTTTTTAAGTGCAGCAGGTTGACCAAGGCAAATTAATTAAACACTGCAGTAAATACAACCACTCCCTTGACCATGACTTAAATGTCACATGTACAATCATCGTCCTCAACACTTCTCTAAGTTTAAATTCTTCTTGTGACCACCTGTAACATGTAACATTTTGGAACACTTCTCAAGGAACATTGTTAAAACATTACAGTAGTTACTCTGTTTCAGGACAGTTTTTATACTGTACTGTACTGTATCCACCTAATACTCTTTTTGGGAGACATAATGCTAAGAAGGAATGTTAATGAAATACTGTAGCTGTAATGCAAGTGAAGCGAGAGTGTGAGTTACATTAGTAGACTGCATCAGGCTCTTAAGAAGTCATGTAGTCCTCAGCATTAAGGAGAAACAAACAAATGGACTTGACTAAAAAAACAGGAGTTACATTACCTTTAGTAAATCACTTTCTTATTTCCATTCGCTCTATTAGTATGTTTATAAAAGTCTTGGTCAAATAGAGCCCTCTTCCGTCCTCCCTCACCAACAAGATGAGGAAAGTCAAACCTGCATTATGTATTATAGTATAAACACAATTAATTTGAAATAAAGACGCTTAATTATAAATAAATTATACATAAACTTACTTAAAGGAGGAACATTTAAAACTTTATCTCAAATCAAAATTGGTGCTTCATTAAATCTAAGCACATCATACCATTCAGTTGTTTTACTCAATGGCTACTTTTTCTAATACAGTGCAGAAGTGAGAAGCTTACATGCCTGGAGTTGCCAGTTATAACTAAGGTCTTTCAAGTAAGCACTATGATTAGGAGGAACATTACCTCAAATTTACTTTACTTTGTCCAATTTACTTTATGCCACTGATCTGCTTATTAGCCATTAGGGTGGTCGGTCACGTCTCTGTTCCACACTGTTGCCGGGTGTGTATGGACTCGTGAATATAAATTTACCACTAGATTGGGTATTATTAAAATCCATATAAAACACTTAATTGGTCTAATTATGCAAATTCAATGCAAGTTTACTAAATCCCCCGTGAAGAAGGATTGAGAGATTTAACAAACTGTAGTGTACTGCTATCACTAATTTATATTCAAATCTCCTCAGACATAGACTCCCCACACACTCTGGTCGTCTTATAAGCACTTCGCAGTCATGGACACACCTAATTTAAATCTTCTGTATACAGCATATTTTGACTTCTGGCACTAAATATTTTTTGGGTTATATCCTTACAATTTGCTTCCATCCCCACGAAAAAATAATTGAGCTTCAATCACGAATGACAGAAAAAGTGGTACACCGATTGATACATTCACCTTGATTACTTTATGAATTCACTGCCCAATTTCTGTCATTCAACAAACAAAAGCCTGAAAGTCAACACACTGTGACAGAGACACGACCCCACACACCCGACTTGTCTTAAATCACATTACAGCTTATCGGCTACCTAGTGGGAGACACATTAATGCCCGGAGTTATCACCCTCCCTGTCAAGCACTATACATTCAGGGCCGGATTCAGGAGTGGGCAAAGTGGGCAGCTGCCCAGGGGCCTCCACATATTACAATATTTTATTTAGGTGTTTATTCATTTGGATTATTTTTATTTTCATTCTTTAAAATTCATGTTTATCTATTCCATCACGTAAAACTATGTTCAGCAAGAAGAGTGATAGAAATTAGGCTGGCTACTTCTTGAAATTCATGAATACCTGGTTTTCCTATGAACCGTATATTTTTATTGAGTGCTATTGTTTGTGTTGCTAATAATATATTTAGAATTCCACAAACGTATATTGATTAAAAATGAACTACATGGAATAACGAAATTGAGATTAAAAAAAATAAATAAAATATTTTTTTCATTATCACTTTCATTAGGAATGCCATCAGGGCGCTGTGTTCTAATTTCCTCAATATAACTGCATATGGTTTCAAAATTCTCCAAAGAAGTGTTCAAATTTCAAAATTTTCCTGGGGGGCTTACAGCGCCCCCCGGAACTCCCATATGTTTAGGCTCACTTCACTCGCCACCCCACCCTCTTGGGTAGTTATAATGAGGGGGGCCTCCACAAAGAGGCTGCTCATGGGCCTCCACAGGTCTAAATCCGGCACTGTATACAGTAGCGCGGTGCCCTTCTCAACTAAATTTAAAAAGAAAATGGTTGTAAACACGACGACCCCGTCAACGGATGAGGGTGATTAAAACTGCGGGCGTGAAGCTTTTTGGCTACATGAGAGACCATGATTTTAGCCAAGTCTTTGATAGGGCCTCTCACTAAGAACTAACAGGGAAAGTGAAGTTATATGACATGGGAGGGGAAGTTCTTACTGTAATTGGATTGGTGGTACAGCGGTAGCACCCGTATCTCTCATCACTGTGTCTTGAGCAGACCTGGGCCGAGACAGACATGGGGAGGGTGTTATCCAGTGTGACTTGTACCAAACATACATGTTTCCTATGGGTACTCCGGTTTCCTCCTGTACTATCTCAACAATGAAGATCAAAACAGTAACAAAGAACAGGCCAACTTCATTTTGGCTAGTAAGCATTAATAGTACAAAATCCGATTGGAGTATTGTCACAAATGGTGTCCCTTAAGGCTCAGCACTTGAACCATTATTACCCATTTATTATACACATTAATGCATTGACAGTAATACTGTACTGTATAAGTAAATTTGGAAATGACAGGAATAGGCATACAGCATAGCTAAATCTGATGAGAACTTGAAAGCTACTGAAAGATCCACAATTTATAATTTTTTTATTTTGGTAGATATAAAAAATGGCAGATGCCATCTAATGTCGAAAATGTGAAGTAATAAAGGATAGAGAATTGTAACAGAGGAACCAACAATCAACGGAACAACTCTGACTGATAAATATTTAGGGTAAAGATAAGTTGGAACCTACACTCTAGACATCAGTCCATTTATGTATGGATAAAGGCTAACAAATACTGCACATGGGGTCCCGGGGTTACGAACGGGTTCCGTTCCTGAGGACGTTCTTAAGTCGGATTTGTACACAGTAAATTGGAACAAATATTATGTGCATACCGTACTTACACAACAATGTTTAAAACCCCACTATATCATAGCCTAAGTCCTTATACACATCTAAAATCACTTAATTTAAGAGAAAAGAAGAAATAGAATGACAAAATACAGTAAATTAAAGTAAGAAATATGTCATCGGGTAAATAACACTGTGACACTTCCTGGGACACTCTGGCACTCCCTGGGACACTCTGGCACTCCCTGGGCCACTCTGGCATTCCCTGGAACACTCTGTTACTCCTTGGGACACTCTGTTACTCCTTGGGACACTCTGGCACTCCCCGGGACACTCTGGCTTTACTTTGTTTTTCCTTTTATCTTCTTCACCACTGATCGGCTCAGTAGCCGCTTGGGCGATCTGTCACGTCTCTGTTACACACTGTTGGCAAGTACTGGGCATGATGCACTGTACTGTCTCCTGGATGTATCTGAATTTGCTCCGGTGTTGTTCAAGTCTTGTCTTGAAAGAGTTCACACTCGGTGCCGTCACCACACTCTCTGGCAGATTGTTCCAAGAGTTCACAACTCTCACTCCGAAAAAGTTGCCCCTCACAGTTTTCACGGCTTCTTCAACCTTCAGCTGTGACCCCTTGTGGGGTGATCGTCCACCAGCTCCCTGGGACACTGGCACTCCCTGTGACACTGGCAAAACCTAACCTTATTTCTTTAATTAACTCTATCCTGAGTTAACTACATTAGTATTATTATTTTTATTTTATTTTGTTATTTTTTTATTATTATTAATTCTGTCAATTTTCTTCTATGACGTTTTCCGCGCAAATGACCTATATAGTTATTATTATTATTATTGATGATGTTGTTATTATTACTCATCTAATTGATGCTACGATAACGCCTTTAATCTCATTCAAAGTCATTTGATTCCGGCTTTTAATATAATTCAAAGTAATTTTATTAAGTCTGGCATCCTCTTAAATGATTATTTACATTTGTTTTCTTATATGTTACAATAAGAGAAAACGTAACGTTTATAGGAGCAACTTTAATTTTTTATTATTGTTTTAATGTATAGGAATTATTTTTCTTTATCCTCTTCGCCACTGACCGGCCTGTTAACCGCTTCGGAGGTCTGTCACCTCTCTGTTACGTACTGTTGGCATGTGCTGGTCTGTTACGTACTATTGGCATATACTGGTTCTCTGTTACGCTCTGTTGGGATGTACTGGTTCTGTTACGTACTGTTGTCATGTACTGGGTCTTTGTTAGGCACTGTGAGCATGTACTGGCTCTCTGTTACGCTCTGTTGGCAAGTACTGGCTCTGTTACGTACTGTTGGCAACTTAGTAAACAGATTAAGACAATTAAGGATTCAACCTTTGGCGCCCAGGCTTAGGTATGAAACAGTGCCGTAGAAAATATGAGATACTTCCCCACCTGGAGTACTGTCACCCCACCTGGAGTACTGTCACCCCACCTGGAGTACTGCCACCCCCGCCTGTTGTACTGTCACCCCGCCTGGAGTACTGTCACCCCACCTGGAGTACTGTCACCCCACCTGGAGTACTGTCACCCCGCCGGGAGTACTATCACCCCGTCTGGTCCCCGAGATAATGCTAGGGACTGTCAGTTGATTGAAAATGTTCAAAGGAGGGCCACCAGACTGGTGCCTGCACTAAGGCACCTCGGCTACCCTGAGAGATTAGAGCGCCAGCAAATGTCTATCTATCTATCTGTTTATTTATTACTAATCAGCGGTAACCACCCAGTAAGGCACGGTGATTATCATTATTGTAGTCGGGAAGTTCTGTACTGTATTTCGTCTATATTTTTCAACGTAAGGTTATTCTTCGATAAAATCAAATGTGTTAGTAATATTAAAGTATTTTTTATGATATAATTGAGTAAATCAGTAATGTTGGCAGCCCTGATTGGTCAACACAAGGCTCTTTCCGAAGCTGAAGAATTTAGACTACTTTATGGTCAGTGAAATGGATTAGGCTAGTGTTAGTCTCAGTTGACTGAGCCTGATTGGTAGCTGACTCACAAAAGACTGTAATCACGGAAATATCCTCCCAGCATGTGTATGGACAATGCAGGTATTATACGGCGTATTGTACATGGAACGTAAAAGTATACAATTTCCAATGTGCTTCAGCAGTGCAGGTATACAACATTAGTAAACAGTAAGACAATCTGACCAAGGTTTGTCGACAAAGCTGTCAGATTCTTTTTTTTTCAGTAGATAGTCAAAATATATAAAAATTAAGCTTCATCGAAACCCAAATCTAACCTACCTTAATCTAACTTATTTTTTAAAAACTTGCTCAGCGATTACCATGATACACACATTACACACATATATATATATATATATATATATATATAATTAGCTAGGTACAGACAGGAGACGCTGCTAGTGTGTGTAGTTGTGTTATAAAAGAAACAACCGTGGCTGCATCAGGTCGTATAAGACACACTAGGCCTCCCGATCGATGATACTGCAGGTGTCTGCGGCCTGAGCGCCCTGTGCCTGTGCTGTGTGTATCATAGCTCTCTCTAATAATGACACAGACGGAGCATTTTCCTGCCCCCTTTTAGAGCAGTTGAGAAAAATTCTACACCAGTTCAGCTCTTTAAGTTCAGGCTCTTATCAGCATTAGGTCTGTTGACTGGCTTAAATGGTATCTTAGGAACAGGAAAATAAACAGTCGTTGCAAATAATACCGAGTCAACATCCACGTCAATAACCTAAGGAGTCTCACAAGGGTCATTGCTCTTCCTGTGTTATGCAAATGATATGTCCATTAATGATAATTGCAACCTTTTGTTTTATGCTGATAACAGTGCCCTTTAGTCTCAAATAAAGATGGAAATGATATAGCTAACGAGATACTATCTTGAGTCTTACAAACAATGGCTTATAGGTGGGAATGAGCCATCTCAACTTGGTGGAAGTGATATGTGCAACTCCAGGCACAAGTAGTAGTCAGGAACTGTGATGCAACTAGTATTGTTTCTTGTGTCAAGAGGAAGACTCGTATCAGACTGAACCAAATTTCAGAAAATCAAACACCTCCGAGCTGACATTTTAAGGTAGTTGCAAAGGGCGTGGCACTCATCCTCAAGCACAGCAATGAGTGGGACAGCGAGACAGGTTATACACAATTAAACAAAACCATCAATAAAGCTAATCCAGAAATGACAAATGTTGGCTATATGTTAATCACCCAAGTACCAGCCCATGAACTGGATACTCTCAATACTATATAGTCATCCTCAGAGGCAAGTATGTGGCTCAAAAATCCAGGGTAACGCTATGTTGTGCTTACAGTTGATGAGGCGTTTTACTGCAAAGACATGGAGGGAGGAAGAATGCCAGGAAAAGTTGATGGTCAGAATTGGTGGTTTTCAAACATTCTTGAATTTACTTAAAGTCATTGGCAAACACTTTTAATACTCTGGTCTACTAAAGGAAGAATAAGATCACATTCTGGCTCTGCAGGTTCCTCATCTGTAGCCAAGACAGGAGATTGAGGACAAAGATGTGCTGCTGCCACCAAGAATTTCATAAATCTCTTATAGTCTTTTGTTGCTTCTAATGGTGGACCTAAGTTGTAAGCTCCTCTTCTGGTACATGAAAATGGTGGAATTCCTTCTGTTGTGCACCCGAGCTAGAGTACCAAGTAGGGTGCATGAGTTGATGATGACAACAGTTGGTAGATGGTGGTGACAACAGTTGGTTGATGGGGGTGACAACAGTTGGTTGATGGGGGTGACAACAGTTGGTAGATGGTGGTGACAACAGTTGGTAGATGGTGGTGACAACAGTTGGTTGATGGGGGTGACAACAGTTGGTAGATGGTGGTGACAACAGTTGGTTGATGGGGGTGACAACAGTTGGTAGATGGTGATGACAACAGTTGGTAGATGGTGGTGACAACAGTTGGTAGGTGGTGGTGACAACAGTTGGTAGATGGTGGTGACAACAGTTGGTAGGTGGTGGTGGTTACTGAACTATATATTTAACATTGTATTGACAGTAATTAAGACGGTTCGTGATGACGGTCAAGATCTACAGTTTATCATCTCCCATGACGCATCTTAAGGTGAGACAACTATAATAGTGTAACCTCCGCGTGAGTGTAACTTGACCTCTCACTTCCTCACAGTTATGTAACTTGACCTCTCACTTCCTCACAGTTATGTAACTTGACCTCTCACTTCCTCACAGTTATGTAACTTGGCCTCTCACTTCCTCACAGTTATGTAACGTGGCCTCAAACGTCATTCACAGAGAGTGTGACGTGGTCTCACACATCTTCCCTCACAGTGAGTCACCAAGCACCAACAACACCTCAGCTGTCAGCTAACAAATGTGTCACCGCTAACTCTGGTTCCTGTTTATTCCATTAACAATACAATACTTGTAAATTTTTCTTTTGATTGTTGACGTCGATGATGGTATATTTTACACACACACACACATATATATATATATAAATATATATATATATATATATATATATATATATATATATATATATATATATATATATATATATATATATATATATATATATATATATCACTGTAGGTGCGCGTGATCTAGGTATATGCTGATAACCACAAGGAAAGAAGAACGTGTTTTCTTCTTTCATTGTTGGTATCTGCATATATATATATATATATATATATATATATATATATATAATTTTTTTTTTTACGGGGATTAGTCCACCCGGGCACAGATCACTGACCCACATCAGGGCCTGGGGGGCGATAATGTAATAATAATAATAATAAAATTAACAATTATAATAATAATAATAATAATTGTATTAATAATTATAATAAGGAACCATAAAGAAATACAAAAATGAAAGATCAAAAGTGATAAATAATATATGTATGTTGTGTTGTCAATAGTAAGAGAAACAATTGAGACCCTGCAATTGTGTGTAAATGAGGCAGAATTGCTTCAAACATAGGTTGGATGCTTATATGAGCAATAGGGGTTGGGTGTAAACGGGACTGCCCAGTATGGGCCAATAGGCCCGCTGCAGTTTCCTCCATTCTTATGTTCTTATAACCACAAGGAAACAAGAAAACACGAAGTTTCCAAGCGCTTTCGTGTAATTCACATCTTCAGGGGTGAGTACAGCCGATCTTTTGGTGAAGAAGATAAATTAAAAGGAAAAGTACTGTGTGTACTTGTCACACTTGCCAGATGCGTCTGGTGTCATTGTACAGGGGTACCTAGTGACAGCACTAGGATCCCGCTTCCTCTATCAAGGAATAAACAATTAAAATTGAAAAATTGAAGGAAAAGTAATGAGAGACGTGACCGATCGCCCAAGCGGCTAACGAGCCGATCAGTGGCGAAGAGGATAAAGTGTTCAAAAAAAGTAAAAGCTGACAAGGCTAATATACTGTATACCGTAGAGGAGAGTGAGATCAATTCCCTAGGGGACCGTAGGTGTCCACAATGATCCGGTCATTAGATTGTGACCATTGTGGACGCCTACAGTTCCCTTGGGACTTGATCTCACTCTCCTCAACTGTATATATTAGCCTTGTCAAGTATTTCTCCTTAGTCTGTACTCACCCCTGAAGATGTGAATTACACGAAAGCTCTTGGGAACTTCGAGTTTTCTTCTTTCCTTGTGGTTATCAGCATATACCTGGATCACGCACACCTACAGTGATTTACTGCTAATATATACAGTAGAGTAGAATGAGATCAAGTCCCTAGGGGACAGCAGGTGTCCACAATGTTTGTTTGTTTTCTATTAAGAAGATTAGTAAGGGTCACTGCCTTATGACCGGATCATTGTGGATACCTGCTGTTCCCGAGGGACTTGATCTCACTCTCCTCTACTGTACAGTATATATTACTCTTGTCAAGTATTTCTCCTTAGTCTGTACTCACCCCTGTCAAACTCTGGGGTGACAATTCTTCAGGTGATCCATTATTATTATCATTATATCGATGAGGACGAAGTTATCGAGAAAGTTTAGGAATAAAATGATATAATTTGTACTGTACTAAACCCTCATGTTTAATGAAATGAGCGTAATGATAGCAAACACTAGACTAACCAGGTTGATGATTCCGTAATAAAATTTAGTATTCCCTGTGATTGAAGTAATGTTGTCATCATGTTATTACTGCGCTTCAACGTTCAATGTTTTTAACAAACTAGTCCAACAGCAATAACAATTATGAGATAAAACTGTTGTCTGAAGAAACGACGGTCACTAACATGTCCTCCTGTTGTCCTTCAGTCGGTCGTCATAGTGTTGCCACATGGTTTTCCTTTGTACGGAAATTTCAGCCATCGTGTCCTTTCGTCGCAAATACTGATTTAGTTTAAGAATTTTTAGTATTTATTCTCTTAAATGTATAATCATAAAGGTAAGGAATTCTTCCCCGTGCGACAACTTGCTTTCCTGTAATAGAGTTGGTTGGTACCACAGACAGTGTTGGAACATAGCCAGTGTTCCCAGAGTCTTGCCAACTCTAGCTTCTCAACTGATTATTGGTTAGAAATAGTATCCTGGGTAATATATACTAATGGGGAAAATTTTAGCATCAATCCTGAACTGATGTTTATTGCTACTAAATGACCCTTGCCACGTGGCATGTCCTCAGAGGCTGGTGTCAACAACTGACATCTTGGTAGACTATTGTAAACCGTGCGCGATTGTCTGGCGACTGTCAAGCTGTGTCTAATGTCAAACTCATTGGAAAATAAGGATGAAGCCTCTTATATTAGTATAATCTTTATACATTCGAGGTTACATTGATAAAAATTATCACTGACAGCTAAACTTAAATGAAATTATTTTTAGGAAAAATACAAAGAAGTGAAATATCACATTAACCACTGAAAAACAAACTTCAAAAGAGGTGGGGCTGCGCACGCAAGGTGGTGGGGCCTGGGGGTGAAGGAGGGTTGTGTATATATACTGCCTGGCAGACTGCGGACGGCCTGTTGGTGCATTCTACATTGTGTGTGTGTGACGTTCGCTGAAGATTTATTTCAAAATGGGTAAGATTATGATTTATTTTGATCATTAGTCTGTTTTAACGCAGCGCCAGTGTTAACATGCCTTGCAATTTCAGTTTTATTTCCCTAGTCGTTTTTCGATTCGTCCTCCCCCAATCATAAGAAGAAACGTCTAGACATCCTTATTTATGTTAGTATTTTCGGTAACATCTATAATTAAACAGGCGTATTGGATGCCTTAAGTAATTACTCATCCAAATAATTATACAGTGTAATATAACTACATATATACAAAAGAAACTGACATGACGGAAACACACATTCTCTTGTAGATTATCTCCATTAAAGGATACTGAGAAAGCTGACACACCGGCACGTCCACACTGGCTGCCACGCCCTCACTGGCACTCCTAAGGGAATCAAACTAATGTAGTGACAACGCCTAAAACCTTCACAAGGCGAACATTATACCAGCAACTACCATGCCCGCGGCTACTGACTACCGCTACAACATGCACACCACACACGACACACACACCCCACCCACACACACACCCCACCCCACACACACACACCCCCCCACCCCACACACACACACCCACCCACACCACCCCACACACACACACACCCACACACACACACACACACACACACACCCCACACACACCCACACCCACACCCCACCCACACACACACACACACACACACCCACACACACACACACCCACCCACACACACACACCACCCACACACACACACACCCCACCACACTACCCCACCCACACACACACACACACCCCACACACACCCACACACACCCCACACACACACCACCCACACACACACACCACCCCACACACACACACACACACACACACCACCCCACACACACATCCCACACACACACACATCCACCCACCACCCACCCACACACACACACCACCCACACACACCCCGCCCACACACCACCCGCCCACACACACACACACACACACACACACCCCCACACACACCCACACACACACCTCCCCACACACACACACACACACATCACCCACACCACCCACACACACACCACCCACACACACACACCCCGCCCACACCGCCCACACACACACACACACACACCCCACACACACCCCACACATTTTGACCACACCCCCTCCCCCCACACACACACACACATCCCCCCCTCACACACACACACACACCCTGGGAGAAGGTCCGTGCCATTGATTTAGCTGCAGACTTGGAGGCGGGGAGAGTGGGTTGAGAGGGGTATCTCATGGTGAGTGTGGAAGAGGGGGCTGGGAGTTATCACCAAGGAGACTGAATACAGTGTTGAACTTGGCATTGTGTGCGAGAGGGTGAAGGGGCGGGGCGGGTCAAGGCTCTCCTGATAGGCTGCTGTGTTAAGAGGTGGGCCTGTTGTCATGAAACTAGGAGGTGGGCCTGTTGTCATGAAGCTAGGAGGTGGGCCTGTTGTCATGAAGCTTAGGAGGTGGGCCTGTTGTCATGAAGCTTAGGAGGTGGGCCTGTTGTCATGAAGTTAGGAGGTGGGCTTGTTGTCATGGAGGCTGGGTGTTGGTATAAGTGGGTGGCTGCTGGCGGTAGGAGTGGGTGGGGTTTAGAATGGTTAAGCTGAGCCGTCATCCTTCCTCTCACATTGTTTATGCTCTCTTCTGGGGTCTTGGTTCGTTTAACTGCTGACTGGCTCGACAGTTGGATGACGTCACGTCTTAAGGGTGAGAGAAACCCACAACGTGGACTCGTTCAACGTTTATTTACTTTTTTGGTTTAACAAATTTATTGACAAAGCTTCGAGTACAGTTTTCCTATTGTGAGTAATTCAGTCAGGTCTTGACACTGATGATAGTATCACTTCCCACTGCCACACAGGACAGAGGTTCATACACATCATATTCATTAGCAGTGTGTATATATATATATATATATATATATATATATATATATATATATATATATATATATATATATATATATATATATATATATATATATATATATATATGAGAGAGAGAGAGGTCAGAGTCATGTGGGTGATGTTACTGTTCACTGCCATGCAGGACAGAGGTTCGTACACAAAGAAATACATAATATTCATTTGCAGTATATATAGGTCAGTCATGTGGGTGATGTCACTGTTCGCTGCCATGCAGGACAGTGGTTCATATACATTGGACGTCATATTCTAATTGAAGACTAATCAGTGTGGGCTAGCAAATTTTGGATAAACAGCAAGAATGTCCCCAAGCATCTCCGATTCATTGTAGTAATTACAAAGTTCATGATACAATAAGCCAGATGCTTTAAGTTATTGATTGATATGGTCAAAACCTATAAAGAATGAGACGCTCGTTAGCTACTTATTACATTCCATTATATGCATACATTATACTTCAGTTAGTAAATACACTATCCAAATTGCCTCACGCTTTGCACATGTGTCGTTCACAACATTTCTCCATAATACCAACAATAACCGTGTTCTTTCACTCACGTGTGCGGGCTTATCGCTCCACTTAACAGCTAATATCGCTAATGTGTTCACTCAAAGGAGTTGAGCGGTTACTGCCAGCCACACACAGACATCCCGAGACCTATCTATAGTCATAACACACAAAAAACTTGTTGTGCATCCACCCATCTGGCGAGGTCACAGGTTCGCGCGACAAGATGGGTTCAGAGGTCGCGGCATAACGAGGGCGGCGATAACACTCCTCCCGTTGGGCTCATGCCCAAAATCAGACTATTAAATGGCGCCCTCGAGGAGACAGATCTTGGTAACAGGTCGGAGAACTCGCGGACAGCAGTGCGCACACGAACCTGACGGTCGAGCCCATCTGTACTAGCAATCGCTTCGACAACCCGACCAAGGGGCCACTTGCCGTGAGAAAGGGTTTCTCAGGTTATGAGACCAAGATCGTTGACTTTGAAGTTACGAACAGGCTGACGATGTTTTTGCCGCTTGCGGAGAATCGGTAGGTATTCCTTGGTTCAACGTTGCTACAAACGGTCTGCCAGAAACTGTGCATGTTACCACCTGCGTCGGTAGATGTCTTTCAACGGACATCCGCTGAGAGGGACTGGAGCGGAGTCGCGTCCAAGCGTATATGTAGTGGAGTCAAGGCCTGCAGTTATTGGGCTGCTGTTAATGATCACTTCTGCTTCACGGAATAATGTCTGTAGTCGCTCATCATCAAGCACTCGAGACGATTGCCCTAAGCACCTTACGCACTGTTCGGATTTGTCTTTCCCATATACCTCCTGTATGTGATGCCGCAGGGGGATTGAACACCCACTCCACCTCCTTCTTCAAAAGACGTTGCTGTATGTGTTTGTCTGCAACCCAGTTGCGAGCGGCTGCCCTGAGTTCTTTGCAGGCTCCAACACGTTTGTTCCATTATCTGTGCGGATGTGTTCAGGAGCACCTCTGCGTGCCATGAAACGGGTGATTGCATTGATAAGAGCGTCAGCATCAAGAGAGTTGAGCACTTCCAGATGGACTGCATGGGTTGTCAAGCATGTGAATAGATACCCATAGCGCTTGGCTGTCGTGCGCCCTTGTTTGGTCTGGGACGGATCAAAACAATCCAATCCTGTGAAGGCAAAGGCAGGCTTTCCTGGGCAGGTCCGATCTGCTGGCAGCACGGCTTCCTTTTGATGCCTGGACACCCAGTTGTTGCGACGGCAGACAGTGCATGCCTTGGAAATTTTATCCAGCAGGCCACGACACTTAAATATTCAGAAATTTTGACGCAGCATTGGAAGTGTGTGCTCCCTTCCAGAATGTCCTGCATGTGTTTCTCGTAGTCACCGGATGATCACGTGGGAGCAGTATTGACCCGCCAGGTGTTGTCGCCCATTCACGGTGCAGCCTTCCTCCAACCTTCACCAGGCCATCTTGGATACTCTGGCGCATCAACCTTTTCTTTGCAATGAGCCTCATTTCCTGTTGGTACCGCTCTGTTGGTTTCTGTTTTTCTTCACTCGATTAGTCTCAAATCTGTGTTTGTATCATGAAATATCTTATGACTGCGCTGTGATATGATCTTCAAAACGTTTAAAATTAATTTTCATGATAAATATTAAATTAATTCACAATTTTGTTTGGATAAGTTAGGTCGGTATAAAGAATAATGATACGTGAGTCATTGTCAGAGCGATCCATAAGGGAGTTACTTACAGTGGGAAGTGTATCCATTTCATGTTTGTGTCCGGGAATCATTGTCTAGTAACTTCGATTTAATGATTTATTAATGTGTCCATGCCATTCAGTTAACTAATAAATAGTTGTACTTAGAATTGGTGTTTAGGAAATTTCCCCTATGAATATATTAAGTCAAATAACTAATCGGCCACGCTACCAAACTTTGCTCACTTTATCCTACAACTATAAATTGTTACTTTACTTGTACTTCTTACTTACTCTCATTACAGTTCCCCGAATCACGTACCCTGCCAATTTAATTCTCAGCCTTTCATGGAGTACAATGTCAAAAGCCTTGGCAAACTCTAGGTATATATTATCTATGTTTTCGCCTTGTTCTAGAATTTGAATCCAAACATCCAGGAACTTGAGTAATTGTGATAAGCCGGAGCGTCCCGGCATAAAACCGTGTTGGCAGTCCTTTACAAGGATGTTCCGTAGTAGATATTCCATCATGGCATCTCTTACGATGCTCACTAGTACTTTGCATTACTGGTCAGGCTCACCGGTCTATAATTATTCGAGGAGTGACGTTCGCCATTCTTGAATATAGGACTCACATAAGCCATTTTCAAGTCCTCGGGGAACCTTTTGCTCATCCAGGCATTTGCAGAACAGGATCTTAAGGGGCTCCGCAAGCCCATTACACAGTTCTTTTAACGCAATGGTGTGTGCCATATCTGGGCCGGGACTCTTGTGAATCTGTAGCTTTGGCAATTTTTTCTTATACCCTCCTCTGAAAACACAATGCGGGTCAGCGCTGTCAACTCGTCTGTCCTCAAACCCAAGGACAAGAAGTTGTTCAATGCCT